TCAGTTTGCAATCATTCTGCTGATAGGCATTGGCTGTCTTCTGCCATTGTTGCTCCTTGTTCATAATCATGATCCAGTCCTTCTATTCTTCATATCTCTTCAGAATATTGATGCCAATGTCTGAGATAATCTCTGTGTAAGAGGCCAGTATTCCAAGTTTCAGAGTCTTGACCATGCATCCATCATCATCAATGTCATGGAGAAGTCTGGCTAACTTGGTGAGTCATTCCAGCTCATCAAAGTATTCATTAGCCATCTTATTGCTCATCTGTAACTCCTTCACTTTGTTCTTGTGAACTTCTTGTATAGCAGAGTCAGTGAATTTGTCACAGACTATCTGTTTGAAGGTTTTCCAGGATGGCAGTCAATGATGCCTCCTGGTAGTAGAATAGAAATTGCCAACCTGTAGGGTCCACTAAGTCTTTGCCTTGTCCTCAAAGTGAGAGACAGCAAAGGTAACCCAGTAGATATTAGCTGTTATGTAGGTGGAGTATACCTTGAAGTACTATTCACAGTCACTGAGAAATCTGTTGATGTTGTCAGAGAGCCCCTTGAAGTGGTGCAGCTTCCATACAAGATCAGGCTGGCACTGAATGAGGGCAGCATTGGCAGCTAGAGGCCTCATCAGATTCAGGTATTCATGGAATGGTGGGTGCTTCCATTTCTAGGACAGTCTGAAGAATGAATGGAGAGAGTTGTTGTCAGCAATCAGACTCCCAGTTAGTTTGGTTGTCTTCTTCACAATTTGCCTATTAACAATAGTGAAGCCCAATCTTTGAGCTTCAGGATCATCTCCTTCAGCTTGATCACTGAGTCTGGCTTCATCAGCAGGCAGTTGCCTGGCTAAGAGCTGACTTCCTTTACCCCTCCAAGGGTATCAGGCTGGGACCAGCACTTTTGCACATTGGAATCACCATCAGGAGGCATAGGTGGTGATTGATCAGATAGAAAGTGCTGTGTACACAGCATGCCTTTGGTTATACAAGAGGTGTGTTTGGCATTGGTTGAATGTTGAACCTAGACTTGTATGCCAGCAGGGGTTCCATTCAGATCTCTAGATATGCTTCATTGAATATATAAATTGCCTGCTCTATAGTATTATACTGTAAAATGTCAATTTTTTCTTGGTCATCTGCTTTGTTATACTTTTGTCCTAAGAGGGTCATTCACCAGGTGATGTCCTCCTGTAATCCTGCTACTCATTCTCTAAACATCTGATTAAATTCTCCTTCTTGCTCTCAAGTGATTTCCTTAAGGAGCTCTTCTGCAGAAAGCACCTTGGTTAGCAGAGGCCACTCAAATCAATCAGATTTCAAGAGACTCACCAGTGCTTTCATTGTCACTTGGGAATCTTCCTGGTTGGCTGGTTCCAGGGTGAGCAGTAGGCTGACTTCAGGAGGGTCCAGCAGCTGGCTGCTCAGTGCTTTCTTGGCTTCTTTGGCTTCCTTCTGTTGTTCCCTCCAATTGCTTTCAGTACTTGTGGACTTGGTTTTAGAACTTATTGTCATGGACAAATAGTCCAGCAACTTGTCCTTGGAGAAGTCACTGGATAACATCATCATTATTGTAGGCAGATTCTGGCCTTTGGATACCATAGATGGATAGAGGGGTTTCTTGCAGGAGGAAAGAGAGAGAGACTTGAAGAGATCACTCTGACTCAGTTTTGAGCCAGCTGTGTTCTTGGAATGGCTTCTGAGAGAGGGTGGAAGGAGTTCTAGCATGGCAGTCTCTATGCTGGTATTGGTTGATAGCTTCAACCATGATTTTATAGATTTAGTCACTAGTGGAATCTGTGTCTGATGGGATCTCAGAGGTCCATGGAGTCTCTGTCCTATGAGCAGAGTGATAGTCACTGGCTGGAGCCAATTTGGTGGCACCACCAGAGGAGTTTCTAGAATTGTTTTCATTTCTACATTCAGAGGTGGCAACAGAAGGATCAGGGGAAGATAAAGCATTAAAGAAGTCACTAGAGAGGTCACCAGTAAGGCCTGGCAGGACTGAAGAGAAGTGTGCCAGGATTCAATTGAAGCAGAGCCTTTGCTGCTCCACTGAGATGCTGTCTCTGGGTCTCAGTGGGTATTGGAAGGAATTGGTTCAGTTGGTTTCTTCCCTTTGTATTTTGCTAATAACTTCTGGAGTTTGCTGAAAGATGATTTTTGATACAGGCCCTTCTGTGGGCTTGGAATTTCTGATAAGGTCTGAAGGGAGGTTGTGGAAGGGGAGAACAGGGGAGACATTTCATTGGGCTCAATAGAAGGTTTGGAGGGATTGGTAGTATCATACAATCTATGCAGTTACTGACTGGTTTTCTCAGCAGAGGTAGACTATGATGGAAAGCCCAAGCAGGGTGCTGATAATGGCACTCAAGAGCTTAAAGAAGAGAATAGTGATATTAGTGGTTGATGTTGGCATTCAGTTTCCTTCACCTGATGATGGCATAAGAAAAGAGAAGCTAGAAGCTTCAAGCTAATTGTTAGACTGCTTGACATGTGACTAGAACATGTGATAAACTGATACTGTATCAAGTTCATACAGTCATGTCAGAGTTCACTATATGTGTTCAAGTGTGTGCAAACAGGGTATTTACAGAGCAAGCTCAAGAAGGGTAAGCAGTATAGATAAACTTTAGCTCAAAGCTGGGTATCTACAGCAAGAACTATGCTACTTATATACAGTCTGTTCTGTGATAATAATAGTCCTACTAATTGTACATATCTGCATTATAGTCCTTGTTGCCTCTGGTTGTTGGGGGTAGAACAATGATGTATTGTCTGTTGACAAGACACTCATCATTGTCTGAAGGACAATAGCATGGGTTACCTATTATAGTTGCATAATCCTCCCATGCTCATCTGTAAGTGCCCAAGATTAGATAGACACTCTGATAAGATAAAAGATAAGAAAATAAGAAAAAATTGTAACATTCACCTTGAGTGAGCCATGGTGGAGGACAAATATCAGGAGGCTGTGGAGAGGCACTCAGAGTGGAAGACAGAGTGGGCCCAGAGGGAGAGAGAGAATAAGGTGAGAACAGAGCATGCAGCTTGAGATGAGAAGATGAAGGCACTGCATCAGGTGGCAGAGGAGAAAAAGAAGTTGGCCTGTCAAGAGCAGGAGAGACAGAGAGTGGTGAAGAAAGCACAGCAGCAGGCAGAGGCCCAGGAGAGATGAAGGATAGAGCAAGAGGCATGAGAGCCAGCAGAGGCTGAGAAGAAGACAGAGTTGGAAGTGTAGAGAAAGTTGGAGAGAGCAGAAGGGCAGGAGGACACCACTTTAATGCCAGCAGAAAACATTGACTTCCAGTGCAGGAAGTTGCTAGCAGAGATGAGAGTGGATCCAGCCAGCCCTGGCATGCACTTAGTGAGGGTCTCACAGAGTCCACTTAAGGGCTGAAGTTGAAAATTATTATTGAGACCCATGATTTTAGAGTGCACAGAGTCTAAAGGCTCATCAGCACAATAATAACCAGGCTAACTGTGACTCATGCAACACTCACCATAACAATAGTATTGTGAGAAGACAATAGTGTGCTCATGCAGCAGAGAGGTTATTGTTATTGGACAATGAGTAGTAGACATGACAATCATCTGTAGAGTGAAGGGTTTTTTGGACAGTATTTAAGACAGTAGTATATAGCAATGTACTCTAGTCTTGAGCTAAGCTTAATCAATACTGACTAAGCTTCTAGCTACTTAGTGTGACTATCACTCTAGTACCAACACTGGTGATTGTAGTCTACTGGTCTCTATATCTCATTTCTCTCATCATCATCTCATACCTTCTTATTATCATTTATCTGCTTTGCCTTCAGTTAGTGTCAGACCCTGGCAGCTGCAGTGCAGTGCATTTGTAGTTGTTTGATTATTGCCTGATAGAATATTGCTGATTGACAAGAAAGAGGAAGGTTGGTGGCACAGAATTGACTCCATGTATAGTGGATGCCATGCAGGGTTGACATGGTGGATAAGGCATCTGGTCAAATGGAGGAACAGTTACTGCCACTTGGGAAAAATGAGAAAAGCATGTCACAAGGAAAGTGGATAGTCTTGCAATGGTAGTAGCCTTGCAGAAGTGGAAGCAACTGCAGGATGTGAAAGTGGATATTTCATGTTGAATGGTAGGAACACTTCTGAAATGTGGCAAGATGTACTGCTGGACTATCCAATTTGGACATGCTACATGGAGAGTCCTGAGTTGCTTGATAAGAGCCAATCTGAGCAGATTGAATGTGAAGGGGATGTGTTTGGTGCCTTCCAGGGGTGAAGATGCCTCCTGGGATGTTGAAGCTGATCATGATGTTGAGGGTGCAGAACTGAGAGTGTGTGAGGGAAAGAGTAATGAGAGAAAAGGATGAGAAGAATGAATATTCATTGATGTCAATTTGGGATCAGAGAGAGGAAAGGAGAGTAGGTGACATCAATGATTAATCCAGGAGAGGATCAAGAGGCATGAGGTGGTTGAAGATGTACAGAAGGACATTGTCACATAGGCAATCACAAAAAGACAGTGGCTTCAGAGGTGTCTAAGAGGGGAATCTTGGTACATTTAGCCTGTGTGAAAGATGAGAGAAGGTGGATTTACCATGTTGTGAAGTAGCAGGCCGGCTAAGTTATCTATAGAGGCAGGGAGCTCGGGCTATTACTGGGGAAGAGATGGAGGGATGGCAATGATGCCTATATAAAAGTCTACCAGAACAAACAACTCTCTGTTGTTTGTATAAGGCTCGCGAGCTGCCCTTTCATTGTTCGAAGAATGACAATGACATGGCTCATGCCGTCACAGTGCCATTTGTGTTAGTTGAATGGTAGGTTGACCGGCAGCCGAATAGCCCACACACTCAATTCCAACTTCTAATAGACAGTAAAACATGTTCGCATTGCATTTCGAGCCAAGCAGATGCGCTCATGCTAATCCAACACATGCATACATAGTAGTAGACTTCTAATTTTCATGCGCATCTAATGATCGAACGATTTCCTACCAAGACGCCACGCCGGCTTTCAGAATGACGATGTAACATCCAGATGTAAAAGGAATTTTTTTTTTACCTCTAGAGCAAAGAGATGTGAATCGTGCGATTCTGGAGAGAGCTGCCGGACGGCTATGGCGAGGTTGTAGAGGTAGTCCTGGCGGCAAAGTGCGTTCAATGCGGCCGGCGGCTGTGGGAAGTTGACGCAGACAGGCCTACCTTATTAGGCCCCGAGGGACCGACGGATTTCCATATTGTGTGCGCGAGAGCGGGGAGAGGCTCCGCGCCGACTGGTTCATAGTGTTGGTCAGAGAGGAATACGCGGGCGACAGGGGGAGCTTACGGAACGACGGGTTGTCAATTCGGCCCACGTAGCACTTATCATCGGGATATTATTGCTTACCGTAAAGTCAGAAGGCGAACACTCGATAACTTACATACGCCTTTTTTTGTTTTTTTTGTCATCTGTGAGCCGGGGCGGGCGAGCGACGCAGGTGATAGGAGAGATGTGCTCACGTTGTGTATTATCGCTTTGTCGGTTTTGCCATCGGAAGTGTCGAGGCCGTATATATCGATGGTCTCCATCGTGTATCCATCCTAGAGAGAAAGGTTAATATTGGATAGGAAAGAAAGTTGGCGTTGGGACGACCTTTTCTCGATAGTCTGGGTTCTCCGGTAAGTGCAGGAAACGTACGGACAACATGTATGTATGTATCGTACCTAGGTAGTCTCTGACCTCAGACTCGTAAGCCGGGTCAATGGTGTACGCGATTCCTGTAGTTCGCAAATTGAAAAACACGAGTGGAAAGTAATAATCTTGCGAACCCCTACCGCAAACAATATCCTCATGCGGAAACGGATCCTAAGCGAGGTAAGGAGGAGGACAGGAAATTCGGACGACGAGGCGTGTACGCACATCGCCCGAGAACCTGTCCCAGTCTTCTATGTGTATGAGTGTGACGACGCGTCCTGGATTCTATAATACCTCGTAAACACTATGGACCCGTTTGGCAGAAGACGGAGTATATGATATACTTCTGGTGTTCCTCTGTGATCATGCGATTTCTGCGCGAATCTACGAACGTATCCTTTCAAGAACCCAGGCACTTTGTAGATGTCAGTATATGCGTTTCAATCATACACCCGTGGCCCAAGGCCTTGCCTTTTGCAATGGTATGTGGAGGAGGCTATGAGTCTTAATGAACAACAGCCAAAAAATGATGGGGAATAAGCGATACTTTGAAGATAAGAGATCCATATCCGAATATGATGAATGGAGGACGCTCGGTGGTACCTGCAGTGGTGGTGGTGGTGGTGGTCGAAGCCATAGATGATAGATCGATCAAGTGGAGATTGAAATTAGGCTTTCTAGGTCGGCGGCAATAGCCGATGCCAAGCGTCGCCCGAGTAAGCACTACGAACCGCATTCTGTCCTTGATAACAGACTACGGCAGTACGAAGCCTCCAGTCGGTCTGCTTGATAATAAAGTTTAATACACCCCAAGAAGTTGAAAGGTTCAGATAGTTTGAATAGAAGATGCGAGTTGGCTATATATTTAACGTAATGTACTGTTCGAAAAAGGTCTTTCACTCCTATAGTCTGTCAAAAGAATAGCACCGCTGCTGCCGTGAAAGTCCACTTGGAAATTTATCCCAGTGGCCAGTGAATCAAAAAGGCTCTGTGCGGTCTCTCTTGTGACCACATCGGCCTGGAAAGAAGAGCTGAACGATATAGTGTCCGCAGAGCTTTTCTCCACCGTCTGAAGGGGAAACAAATGAGATCATACGGACATGGGCCATCCCATTAGACGCCCTCCTATTACTCGCTTACATCATTATCCCATTTTGGCACCTAAATTCATTCTCCGCCCCGAACAGCTTTTCACAGCAAAAACCGTCGACGCGAAGGCGCCAGGCGCCTGTTTTTCATCTTTTGCAGGTGCCATCGCGCGATGCACCAGGAACTAACGCACATGGACCGTATAACGCAACTGCAAGATGAAATCCAACAGGTGCTTGCATCCCCCCTGCCCTGCCCAGCTGGGCAGAGTGTTGCTGATGACCAACCTCCAAGCTAGCTCCTTACCATCATGTCCAACAGCATTGCCTACCTCACCACGCGCGCCAATTTCCTGCAAGTGAGCCCGGAAGTGCCCGTCACGAAATCGAGGAACTCGGAAAAGTATGATGCTGAGGAGGTATTTGAGGGTGCGTGTGCTTGCCCTGTCCCGTTCCACCAACGCTCTGACTGACTGACTTTTTTTGATTCATAGCGAACAAGAAAGAACTGGTGACAGACCTGATGGCCAAGGCGAAGCAAGTGGAATATCTTATACAGTCCCTGCCACAGCCGGAGGCAGAAGAGGAGCAGGTACGCGATAGATACCATGACGTTAACTGTTTCGTGCTCTCACGTCGTCTAGGCGAAACGACTGCAGCAGCTCGAAGAAGAAATGACCGTGGCAAACAAAGAATACATTGCGGCATTACAGAGGACAAGTGCGTGGGTCCCCATCCCATTGTCGATGATATCCGATATCGGTTCACTGACCGCGTTGCTGGTTGATAAGAGAACCTCCATGCGCAAGTCGCAGACCTTCTCAGAACGATGCTTGCCGAGCACGACATTGACGCGGGGTGAATTGGATGGACGGGTGGGTGGGTGTTTGGGGCCCTCGTTTCGTTGGGAGGACCCTTGCACACAAGCGAGGTGAGATCGCTTGGGTGGTGGGATGACGGCACTTGTTGGCTCTGCGGTAGCGTCGTGTCTCGTGTCGCGTGTGTACTCTGGTCTCATTATATCTGTTGGAACTGCTGTCACCTAGCGCAGCTATTCAGTTGACGGCACAACTGAAAATAAATGTCGAGATTACTACTCGATAATGTTAAGTGATGACTGACTTGTTCGACGATTGATCCCGACGTCGACTGAAAGATCTTCTGTCAGCGGGCGTACAGTCTTGTCTCATGTGGTGCTGATATTGGTGAATATATACTCATCGACGACCCAGGAGATTACGATACCCTAATGAATGCGCTTTGCGTTGTCCAATGTTTCAAGTCGCGGTGAACAAACTGTAGACCTTGATTTCCTAACTTACACTTTACAGCGCTCTGGAAAGAAGTAAAACATCGATGGAACTGTTTCACGGAATTTCTCGTTGAGTACGATCGTCTACGGTCGGTTTTGTGGATGAGAATAGAAGCTGCAGTCCCCTGGACTTTCAGGCGGGTGGACATTGCCGAGAGACAGTCATAAATTCGCATCAAGTTCCTGGTTCATAGAACAACTTATAACCAGGAACTTAAGACGTTTGTCGTCTATCTCGGCGATCTCGGAGCCTTCCTAAAATCCAAAAGTCCGATAAGAAGCGCGCCGAAATTGCCGAGATAGTCATAAGCGCCCTACACTCGCATCTCAGCCCCGATTTCCGATAAATTAGTCTGGCAAGCCACTTTATTACTTGGATGTTCACGGAACTCGGATAAAGCCTCGGCCGGGGGATCTAGCCAATGTTTTTGTAGCTATCGGCTCGCTCGAACGTATGCATTCATATGAACTGTTTTAAAAGGTCCTACAGATATTGCGCCTTGAAAGCGATGGATTTCTGGGCGGAGGACGACCACCTATAGAAATTCAATCGGAGGTTAGAAATGGCAAAGCCCGCCCATGTTATAGGCTTTTAGCACGTGAGAGGAGCGAAGCGATCTTCAATTCTGATACCCGGGCCCTGTAACATCTTCTGTATCAATGTCAACTTGGAGGTATACTTGGACGTTCGAAGTTGGACTTGCCAGGTGCGCACAAACATTACCAAACTCTTTCGTCTCGCCGCCGCATTTTTTTTCTTCTTTTGCTTTTTTGGGTGGATTCGAACCGCGACCGCAAATACCTCCGTCTTGATTCGCCAGAGATCCCAGAAGTACTGTCAATCACATGCGCTAGAAGAAATCGCGTATTGCAAGTAAGTAACTAGCAGGCACGCCGCGGTCCTGATCAGCGTTCCCCGATCCCGAGTGTGGTTCTTCCGTATGGATCTTGATGGCGTTCGCGAGGGTGGGTGGTCTAGGTCGTCGGCGCGGGCGGGATATGTTACACCCCTCACCATGCCGTCGCCGCAAACATTGCTGGACGCAGTTTTATATAGGTTCGTTCACCAAACCACGATGCGTATATGACTCGTGTATAGATTCAGGATTACGAAGGTGGATGGACATAGCTACCGCACTGACCGCTGCAAAATGATAACAATCTCGCTCGCTCTCGCTTAGTATTTATCCAGCAATGCTTTGCGCCACACTAGAGGGAGAGGGAGGAAGAATCACCTAGCGGAACAAGTTTATTAGAGAGCGTGTGCCACGAAACAGGGAAAGGAGTGTGTACGTAAGTTCACAGCTTGACAACGATCGCAACTTGCTCGCTCGTGCAAATGATTGTTGCCGAACCACAGGGATCACGGAGGTCGGAAAGTCGGAGGCGGAGGCCTTCTCTGGACCTGATTTTCGTGAGAGTGTGTCTCCGATGAGCGGAGGAACGACAGGATCGGCGCGCCGATTCTGGGTTTGGGGGGGCTGGGAGAGCTCGCATGGTTTGTGGTCGGCACTTTTACCATCGGCAGAAAAAGTGGTGTGACAGCCTCCATTTGACGTTCAGAGATCTATCATTCGTTCACGGGAAGGAAAATAACCCGAAAAAAGGAAGGGAGAAGACGTGGTCCAAAAACGGCGCTGCGAAAGGAGCATTGAATTATAACTATGTATGTATGTTTTCCGTATCCCGCCCTCAAAAGGAACTGGCCAGTAGCTTGGACCCATAGTAACCTGACAGCGGAGCGATCAATACGCGCAGTTTGATTGTAGGTAGAGAAACTATGAAACGACACAGAAGGAAATCACAGGGTTTGGGGGGCATCCGAAACGCTCGTGCTACTTGGAGCAAAAGGAGAGATTCGAACTACGCCACACTTGGGGAGATTCGTGAAAAATCACATGCTGGAGAGTGTGACTGGCAGGGACGGGTTTAGCGTGCGAGGTGTAGGATACCGTGACTTAAGGTTTTCGGAATGTATACAAAACCTAAGCGACGCTCGAGTCCCTTCCCCTGTGTTTGCATGGAAACAGGAACTTCTTCGTCCTTTACTTGTCTCACCCAACTATACTGGGATCTAGCACAGACTGATTCAATCTCGGAGCGCCTAGAATGGGCAATCAAGAGAGAGAAAGAGGGGGGGGGGGATTTATATTCGAATATCAATTTTTACCTTACCTTTACCTGCCCAAGGTAAGTAAACAGAGGATTCGTTGAGAGGGCCGGGAGGGAGGACCCAAGCGTCGGTTGGCTAACTGCTCAGACATGGTGTGTCAATACTGAAGTCGGGGGGTACCTGTCCGAGAAGATCTGGCTCGCCGGAAGGTAACAAAGTGTTTCTTGCAGGGCTGTTATCCGAATCGCAGAAATGAAGGATGCTACTTGTCAGATTAGCATGAGACCGAATCGCGGGCGGTTCCTTATGATATAATTGAAGGGTCCGGAGCGACGGAGCGAAAAGCGAGTGATGAGCGATTTGACGAAAAGGGAAATAGAGTTGGGGGAGGGGGGGTGAATAGGCCCTTGAATTTAAACTCCGCCTCATCACTAAAATCCATGGGAAATGTTTTCCGACGTGTTCCGACAGGCATTTTGTGTCTTCCCACTGCCTCATTTGCCTCCGTTTTCCTCGTATAACCCCGACATCGCAAATGCTTGTTCCCCCTTCCCAAACCCGAAAAAATAGGGCCCAAAAATAATAACCCATTAGATGCCAAATCGAATCTACACTAGGTGTCGGCTAACTTTGTTGTCATCCCTCGCGTATCATGGAATTGGTTCTCGATTGTTTCCCCGAAGGTAATGTCCTTGGAGCCACGGACATATAACTATGGCTGCGTCCGCTGGAGAATGCGCTTGCTCACTTACTTCCCCTCGGATTCGCCACAATGACCCTGGCCCTCCCGCTGAGCGACCTCTCTCGTAACCAAGTCCTCCTCAAAGTGTCCCTACCTGATGGCGCTATCATTTTCGATATGAAGCCCTGCGAGTCAGGGCTTGAAGCCCCTTTGCCTCCCTCTGACCTGCAGCTGCATTTTACCACAACCAAGGGGGAGAACGGACTGGAGCTCGCGATGTGGGCTTCCAGTCGCGCGTCCAGTGCGTCGACGATGATGCCGCAGAATCTCAGCCCTTCTTGGGATTGGCAGGAGGACTTCAATGATGGTGTGTATCTATCTCTTTCGTCGTTGGCCCTTACATACAGCCTGACTGACTGACGCACGACAACAGATACGCTCCTTGAGCCTCCCCCTAGTGCAACTATATCGCCCCTTGAGACGTCATCTGCCTTCAGGGCTTGTACCGATACGCTTCTCGAATCCAGCTCGAATTTTCTTGACGCAGTACAGCTACCTACGCCACCAGGCGAGACACCCTGCATCCCCATGAACCAGATGCCAGACGCGTTCTCATCCCTGGATATATTTTCTCTGAATGGAATGATGTGGCCTGATTTTAACCCAGGTTTGTCCTTTCCTTGATATCTATCCCTGCAGAGCGTCCGTCCCTAACCTAAGAAACCTTTATAAACAGTGTATCCTGATACATCAGAGCCTCTCCCAGAGTTCCCCCTTCCTGCTCCCGCATCGAACTCATACCTCCCTCCCTCCCCCGGCTCCGACGTCACTTCAACGTCCACGCACTCTTCCTATCTCCCTCTCTCATCACCAGCCGTCTCCTCCACGCCCTCCACGTTTCCCTCCCCCAAAGAAGAGCCCCAACTCGCGCCTCCGCTCGGCTGCTCGCCCCCCGCTCCCGCCCCCGCTCCCACGACCGAAGGCAACGCCCTCCGCCCGCACCCCTGCCTCTTCCCCGAGTGCGGGCGCTGGTTCACGCGCAGCTACACGCGCAACGTCCACATGCTCACGCACCGCCGGTCGAACGACCCCAAGCCGTTCGTCTGCACTATCCCCGGGTGCTCCGAGGGGTTCTCGCGGAAGCACGATCGGCTGAGGCACGAGGTCCGGCAGCATGGGCGCGGGAGCAACTGGCGCTGTCCGCTGTGCCCCCTCAGCAAGTTTTACTCGTCCCAGAGCACGCTTGAGCGACATCTTAGCGAGAAGCATAGCGAGGGGGGGTAGGGTAGTCAGTTGCTATTACTACTACTACAACGACAACAACGAGTCGAGATCCACTCCCCCCCAATTCACTTACCCTGGGCCCCCTATCGCTGGCCATTTGGGACTTGGGTAGAAAAGTAATCTACCCCACTTAACCTATCTCCGAGGGCGTAACGAGTAGCTTAGCTGTATTTTGTCTTTTTTTTTTCACGTGCACTGTATATTATCAAATGATTCTTTATTAACATCACGTTTTTTTTTGCATTTTGGTCCCAAAACGACTGGTCCCCCGGTAGGAACGGGTGGGCAGTGGCCTTGAGCACTAGCGGTACCTGGCACCTAGCACCTAGCTGAGCGGCTAGTGTGTACCGGGAACACCCGATGAAACAACGCATAAAAACTCTGAAATCACACGCGCTCTCTGGCCAAGGTACCGTCTGTCTACATTTCCGAGACGGTAAGTACTAATATAATACGAAAGATAGCTGTTGCGAATGGACGGAGACTTTCGTTCCAGCTCCGGTGGTTTTACCATCGCATCAACAACATCAAAAACCGAATGGCAGGAAACTCTGTTTTGTTGTAGCCAGCCTGTAGTCAGCCTGACAGCCTCAACGGTCCAGCGAGACTTACTCGTATTGATGATGACACAGTGGATTATAAACACGTATTTTTCCCGTAACCGGAAACCGGTGTGGTGTTGCTGGGAAAACTTGAAAAATGTGCTAAGCCCTAAGGTCTTGTGGTTTTTTGACTTTAATGAGACTAAACGTAACACACACTCTCTCTGGAGAGAGAAACACATCGGCGTGGAAATCATACCGGGGGACGGAGGAGAGAAATGGCTCATTAGTGAAACGAGTTATCGATCGAACGGTCAGATTTCGAGAAAGATGCCAAACCAACTTGAGAGAGAGCTAAGAAGCACACGGGACGCAAACCAATCTACTACAAAACTGTAGGATGCAGCGCAGCGCAGCTTGCTGAATGAAACCCAAATAAGTGGAGGGGAAAATGGTCTAGAAGAGATGCCGAGGGAACAAGTTGAAAGCGAACTAGGGCCTGAAAATTGGATGCCGGACCTTTGGTCACGTGATTACCGACTCCCGCTCTTAGCGCAAATTGGGATGCTTGCTTATGAATCAATCGGCGTAGGGTCCTTTGCCTTCCATCACTCGTTCAGTCGGCGCCGACAAAGAGAGATGTCGTGGCGACATTTCACTCACTGACGATGTGAATGGTTCCGCAGTTCTTTTGACTCCGTACACAGGAAACTCGGAGGTCTGTGGGTTATCCACCTGTCAACCAACCTTTGAACGCATTGAAGCCTGCGCACTATTCCTCGAGCCGACTCGGAATTGTGTCGTCAAAAAACGTATTTAGCTAGGCGCTTATGGATGTTATCAGGATCGACAGTCAGCTGGATCTAATTTTTCTTTTCGAGACCCAATGATGATGCCGCTTTTCAGGCACGTTTCACAGTGTGGGGTCTTAGCGAAGTACGTGTGAAGAGGATGAAGCAAATGTAGGCGTAATGTGTGATAATGCCTTTCAGTAGGGCCGAGTTCTCCCGCGACGATACCCTCTTCTTTCTACCCTTTTGGTGCTATCAGTCAACCACGGCATTTAATAAAACCAGTGACATTGGCACTGCACTCGACAACTAAACATCCCTGTACGCAATTTTGTCCTCGGAAGACACAACTTCCTCGACAGCTGATCTTTCCACAAATAGTAGTATTTCTCTTTCCGAGTCGGAGGAACGCGTCATAACTGGCTGACAAGCGATACTCGGACCATCCGCTTTCGACTTTTAAAGTCCTTCTAAAGGGGGAGGCGAGGGTATAAATGCATTATATGTCGTCATACCCTCCGAGTCGGACCCATTAGCGCTGGCCACAATGATCGTTTCTTGACTCTGCCTGTAAAAGCTCCCATATTCACACGTACGTGTCGCCCTCCGACTATCTTTCCCAGTGTACTGATAGCTGAAGTACGACCCTGAATAAGATTCCCTCGGTGTTACAAGGGTCATCTAACGGCTTCTTTCTTTGAGAGTAATGCCCAGACTAATGTGTAGTGACGGGTAGGTGGACCCTACTTCCGAGTCGGAATCTCTTTGCCACGCGAGCAACTTTACGGTTTAAATAGTCAGATGGGGCCCCTTGTTCGATTTCCAATTATGTCCATCATCGTCCTCGTACTCGCGCTATGTGCCGCCGCGCTGGTCTACTACACGACGACAGCGTTATCGCGGACGCGTAGCAGACTTCCCCTTCCCCCAGGCCCCGAGGGAAACTGGGATTTTGGGAGATCGACTTCCTCGTTCGCGCACGTGTTTTATATTTTGGGCTCATGGGGGAGGAATGCTCATGGATAGGACTTTTTTAGGTCGTTTCAGGAATTGGAGACATTGTTTCAAGAATATGGCCCCGTCGTCACGTTAAAGTCGGGATCGAAGACGGTGGTGGTCATCGGTCGACAACAAGCCGCGAGCGACATCATGGAGAAAGAGGGAGCATCACTCGCTGACCGGCCAAAGTGGGTCGCAGCGAGCGAGATCGTCTCTGGAGGCATGAGGATCCTTCTCCTGAACTCTGGCAAGCGGTTCAGGAAGCTTCGACGGTTAGTGTCTGAAGTGGACTCCGTGCAACGGCCCCTCCCCGCTCATTCTTCTTCTTCCTTCTTCTTCAGAGCATTACATAGCCATCTGCAGGCGAAAGCAGTGGTCGATTACGAGCCACTCCAGATGCGCTACGCGAAGAACGTCATTCTGGACCTTATCGACGATCCGGACAACCATGCGTGCCACGCCAGACGGTAAGCCCGGTTATTCCTGATTTCGGGGGGTTGTTGATGGATGACCCCCTCCCCCCTTTCCCCCGTCGTAGGTACGCTGGATCGTTGATTCTGGCCTTGACGTATGGGCGGACGGCGCCCGGTCGGTCTGACGATCCGGAGATTGTCGCTGTGGCGCGTTGCCTGCAAAGAGTCGGACTCGCGGTCCGTCCGGGCGAATACAAAGTCGATGAATATCCGCTCTTACGGTCAGTTGGGGCGCCCTATGGACAAAAAATCATAGAGACTGAGGGTTTCTTACCTACCAGGTATTGGCCTTTCTATCGCAAGGAGCTCAGGGTATGGCACGCAGAGGAGTTGGCGCTGTTTAGGAGCCAGATGGATACCGTTGCGAACAACATGGTGATCTTTCCCTTCCCCCCCTGTGTGCTTCTAGATCTGCTCTCTGATCAATCTCTTCCAGGACACTGTCCAGCCGTGCTTTGGGAAGTACCTCCTCGAGCACCAAGGGGAGCTCGAGCTCAAGTATGACGAGCTGGTCTACCTCGCTGGTACCATGTTCGGTGCTGGATCCGCTACGACGGCAAGCGCGATTAGCCTGGTTATCATGGCCGCTGCGTGTTTCCCTGCTGCTCAACGTGCGGTCCAGCAGCAAATCGATGAAGTAATCGGAGGAGATCGCGGTGCGTTTCTGATCCTTCTCTGTGCGATATCTTTTTTATGACAAAGGACCAAAGCACCAAACTTTGAGGATTATGCGGCCCTTCCTCGAGTAAAGGCTTTCATATTGGAGACGTATCGCTGGCGACCGGTTGGAGGCAGTGGTAAGCGATTCCTCCTCCTACCCCTTGATCTCGGGAGAGTCTGAAGGTATGTTTTTACAGGATTTTCTCATCGAGCTTCGAGGGATGTTTTCTGGGTACGTCACTATCACGACGAATCTCTCTTTTTTTAAAATCTCCATCTGTTCCCCCTTCAGAAAAACTACTGCATTCCCAAGGGGACTGTGGTCATTGGTAACCACTGGTAACGTGTATTTGACTCATATACCATGTTGCTACTGTTCACATTATCCGTAAAAGGTCCATTTGTCGAGATCCCGCTCTGTTCGAAGATTCCGACGACTTCAACCCAGATCGTTGGCTGGATGATCTCGGACGAATCAAGGACGATGTTCCCTTTTTCAATTTTGGTTTTGGTAGAAGGTATGTCGCCCTCTTTATGAAGCCTGGGTGTATTATGTAACAAACTCGTTCAGAATCTGTCCTGGACAATATGTGGCTGACAAGTGCGCATAGACAGTTTCTCTTTTGGCGTGGTTTCTTATTTTTTTTTAAAATAACAGATCTCTGTTTATAAACACGGCGCTGATTTTATGGGCGTTTAACATAACCCAAGTGGCATCGGAACCCATCGATCCAACCAGTTTCGTCAGCGTCGGTGTTAGCATCTCACCGCAGCCATTCAAAGCGTGCTTCAACAAGAGGGTTGAGGGCATACATAGACTACTAGAAGGTTACGGTATCTCACATTAAATTTATTTTTTACAATTGTACAGTGTGCGTGTTGTATCTATATCTTGATCTGGTTCGATCTTATCGATAAGATTCACCATCGAGCCGGCGTTCGTCGATTCGCATGCTTCAAATGCCACATGTACGCGCGAGTCGGCCATCGGGGGGGGGACATGCTGACGTCCTGCTCTTTGAGCACCTGGACGTTAGGAATGCGCTCCGTCAGGATAGTGGCGTCCTCCTCCTCGGCTGGTAGGTCATCTGAATCCGAAACAGATATGGTACTGTGAGTGGATGGGGATGAGGAAGGAGAAGGAAGTTTAGGATCCAGACGGTGATGGTGGAAAGGTGATATCTTCAGGTCGACTATGGGGCTACCTCCCTCCCTGCGCGCCCCTGCTAACAACGCGATATAAGCAGTAGCGACGGCGTCATTGCCACCTTCGATTTGCACAGAAATGAGGGAAGGACAGAGGATATCACCACCAGTACGCGGTGGATTCTGTGATGGATACAACGCGGAGAGAATACTTCGCGTGAGATAGTACGGGCGCAGCCGGAGATGTGTAAGAAAGTACCCGAACACGTCTCTCCACATTGTGTCGGTGATATTAGTAAACGTATAGAGGCATTCCTTGATCACTAACGTCCTTACGTGGCTCAGGAGATAATGTGATATCATTCCTACCACTTCGGGAGGGGAGAACGGACCGCAGATGTAGATGATGGAATCTACTACCGCGACGAGTTGGTATGAGCTGCCGACTGAAAGAGGGGAGCGGATGAGACGGCACTCTTTTATGCCGCGAACATTTTGGAGATGCGTGCGGTTAGTATCAGGTATGAGTTGGGAAAGCTCCTCTGTCGGTAACTGCAGGGGGGCACCCCAGAAATACATGGCTGTAGATGCGGGGAGCGCAAGGTGAGATAACAATCGGGTGATGGGGAGGGCGTATCCCATGCTTCCGCAGTTCAGCTCACGTAGATGATCGAGCGGAACAACGCGATGCGACAGGACAGCCGGGACGTCACCAGCTGTCGACCTTGTCGGACCCGCGTCAATTAACGCGAGTTCCTCCAATAAGGGGCAGCCCTCCAGGAAATCGAGAAAGTCGCTCGTGGAGGGTCGGAATTCGCGGTCTTGTTGGTAGAGGCAGACGTGGGTGAGGTCGCGGAAAAGCCTTTTAGGCCAAGAGGTGACGTGTGCTAAGCAGAGCTGCCTCAGCTTGGGCATTTCCGCGCTGAAGAGAGTCGGTGGTAGGTCGTGAGGGGTGGAATTACGATCACTGTCGATCAAGATCGTCAGACTGACAAGGCTCTTTGCTGGTTTTTTGAGGAGTTCGTACAGAGGTGTCGCGGAGATCTGCCATCTGAACGCATCGATGTGGAGTTCGCGGATACGGCGTGTCTGGCTAAGAATGGTTTCGAGGTCCTGCTGATGTATGTTCCCGCTTCTGATGCCAACGTAGACAGTCAGAGGTGCCTTAGCAGAACGGCGTATAAAAGTCGAAGGAGCCAGATCGCTGTCTATTGTAGCCCATAGCCTTGCGCATGTCGCAGTTACAGCCCGCCAATGACGACAGACGTGCAGAACTTTTAGCCATTCCAGATGGTGCCTCTGCTTGTAAACGCCCGCACGAGGAATCGGCAGAAAGCTGGGGAGATGCTGTTGCACCATTAGAAATATTATGGCGAGTAGCTCTGGGGGAAGTCGGTTGATTGGCTGAAGGGAATTACGAGTGCCTCTGATCATTGCCGCTGCAATCCGGAGGCGCCTCTGATTGAGCCAAGCTGATTACTGCAGTCAGTCTTGGTGAACCTGCAGGTATAATTGGGTAATTTAAAATGGTTACCTGATCCGTACTCCATTTCCTCGCACTGGAGTGACATTTAGTGCCTAGGGAATGTTCAATGAAACAAGAGCCCTACCTTTTGTCAATCCGGTCAATCACAGCATCCAGTAGATCCTCCAATGAGACCTTATCCAAGATGGACAAATCCAGCATCGCGACGAAGAAGTTAATGTCCAGTTTGCTCACACTGTCACAGCTGCTCGTGGTTGCGAGTTGAGAGTACTTGAACACGTGTCGGATACGGGCCGAGTGTACCGCCTCATCGAAAATTGGATTTTACTCCACATTTGGAAATCAACCGACAGGGTCCTATTTTCTGTGTGGTCTCGGATCTTTTGACACGATCTTTCTTGGTAAGTACCAGCTAGCGCGGTCCCGGCGCGATCAATTTCTCTTTCTTCGGCTCTTTGGTGCTATAATTTTTCAGCCTGTTTTGCCTTCTCAAGAAAGAAGTGCGTGTCCAAGAACATAGATTTTTTTTTCTTATCTGAATCGTCCTTAAGGGCCAGGGGAGGTAAACTAACGACAATGCCTTCACTGCCAGGGCACTATCAGCCGCCCCCTAAAACTGAACGTAATTCTTAAATCAAATCCGCGTGTACGCGCCCCCTTCGGAAGCCCGAAAACCAATTGCAGTCGCGTCGAGGCGGGATGTGGGGTCAGCTGAGGCCCCGTGGGGTAGGGGACCATGAGATACCCCAATAATTTTCCCGTATAGGAGTCAGGAGTATCGGGACAATTTTTGCCATAAAACCTGCTCAACTCAGCCGCCGTAAAAACAAGAACCTTTCTTCTCCAGGTCTACCCGCACCTCTCCATCTCTCTCACACATACACACCTCTTCGTCCGCCATGTCTTACCAGATTCCCAAAGTCCAGAAGGTCGCCATTGTGCAAAAGACTGGAGGAACCATCGAGATCAAGACGGACTACCCCGTGAAGCAGCAGAGTGAGCTTGCGCCGGGAGAATGTCTGGTCAAGATAGAAGCCTCTGGTGAGCCTTTTCCTTCCGTTCCATTTGCTTTTCCTGATTTCGTTCGTTTTTTTTTTTTTTTTCAGGCTGTTGCCACACCGACTTGCACGCCGCTATTGGTGACTGGCCCGTCCCACCTAAGACTCCCCTCATTGGTGGACACGAGGGTGTTGGTATCGTCGTTGCCGTCGGCGCCAACACAAACGCATCGTACGGGTTATCTCGTTCATCCTTTGTAGCTGTCTTCTCATATTTTCTTTTTCTCCATCTAGACCAGTGAAGCTCGGTGACCGCGTCGGTATTAAATGGCTCGCTGACTCTTGCTTGAACTGCGAGGACTGCCGAAAGGGCCGCGAACAAAGTGCGTGCTGTTATCCCATCGTTTTTTGCTTTTTCATTACTAACTCTCCATCAAATTTACAGACTGCGCTCAGTGCAAGCTCAGCGGCTACACCGTTGACGGTACCTTTGCCGAATACGTCGTCTCCTATGTCAACCACGTCACCCCCATCCCTGACGGCTTCCCCTCCGATGCCGCCGCCTCCATTCTCTGTGCCGGTGTCACTGTCTACCGCGCCATCAAGTACAGCCAGACCAGCGCAGGCGACTGGATCGTTCTCCCTGGTGCTGGTGGAGGTCTTGGACATCTCGCCGTGCAGTACGCCCGAGCTCGTGGTCTCCGAGTCATCGCTATCGACACTGGTGCCGAGAAGAAGAAGCTGTGCGAGTCGCTCGGTGCTGAGGTCTGGATTGACTTCAAGGAGTCGAAGAACATCGTTGAGGACGTCAAGGCTGCCACTGGTGGATTCGGAGCTCACTCGGCTGTTGTCACCGCTGCGCACGTGAGTAGTATCGCTCGTGGGCACCATTGTTTGTAGCTCATCCATGCCGTTTCAGAGCTCCGGTTACACTCAGGCCCTTGACTACCTCCGCCCTGGTGCTACCCTCATGGCGGTTGGTCTCCCAGGAACTGCGACCTTGAACGCCTCGATCTTCTTCACCGTCTTCAAGGTCAGCCTTTTGTCTTGGGTTGTTCAATATCAGCTCGATGTCTGACGGTGTTATAGAGCATCAGCATCCTCGGTTCCTACGTCGGCAACCGTCAAGATGCCCGGGAAGCTTTGGACATCGCCGCTCGCGGGCAAGTGACCGTCCACTTCGTTTCCAAGGACCTCAAGGAGCTCCAGAAGTAAGCGCCTCTATTCCTTGTGCAAAGCCCACAGCTAATATAATAATTTCCCTAGCGTCTACGATGGAATGAGCGCCGGAAAGGTTGCCGGACGTGTCGTCTTTGACCTCACCAAGTCCTCTTAAGCGTTGTTGAGAAATTAAACCAAAAAATGTATTTGTAAGCAGGAAGCATCTGTAATGCCTATTTATTATTTCAATCAGTCAACTTTCGTTCTACAAATGACTCTATGACATTTTCCGTCGCATTCGGGCGTTGGCAAGTCGTGGTCTGTCTTCTTATCTCTTACGGCTTCATTCGGCGATGGCTGATAAGTATTCTCCTTCGAGTTGCGGTATTTCTAGATATATGTCTCTCAGAATCTAGAGTATGAATCTCCTTAAGGGCCATGGGACAAATTACTGACAAATTGCAGCCGAATGTGAGAATATAATCACCACGCTCGACTTCGTATTATTAGTGGACAGCGCAGCATGTTTATTATTTTATAAAATGAGGTCAGGAACTAGGAACCCATGACGGCGTACCGTGCCGTGTAATGATATGACTGTTTTGCGGAGCAAATTTATTCCTTGTCTAATTCCTGAGGGGGTTATCAAAGATCCCAAGTAGATAGATCATTGCACTGCGGTATGACTTTCTAGTACATTGTCTGGTCAATCGAAGGCAAGAATCGGCTGATTTGGTTAAATCGATGTTTTGGTTCGTGCGCTGGAATGTTGTTCTGACTATCGTAAAGATCATCTTCGTAGGCCACTGATTACACGTACAAAATGACAGCATAACTATTTAAAATTTCCGCTACGTAACACTAATACTCCGTTAGTGGAATGGATAATTTAGTACTCTTACTTAAAAAAAGTAAAAGCCAAGCTACAACATGGTATCGTGTCTTCTTCTTATGCGACACTCTTGATCCTATAAGTACGCCTGTGCAGGCCATCCAGCCGGCACCCATTTGGCGTACGCTCTTGTCCTCGTCCGCTGTGTTACATCTCTAACGCGCCTTTTCAAAGCTACCATCCCATCAGATCGGGTCATCGGCCTATTATCATGAACCTCATCCTCGTCGTCACTGTCTTCCTCTCCAGGATCCAGATTCGAGTCGTTTCCAATGCTGTTGTTATACGGTTGGTCCCAGTGGCTACGCCAGGTATTTTTAGCCCTTGGGTCCTTATTGAGAGAAACGATCTCAACAGACTCGATACCCCGACGTTCTTCAGCCAATACGGCTAGGAAGAATGCTAGATAGGTCGACATGTCTACAGTATACTTCTCCAATCGTATAGACGCGAGATGGGGACATGGGACCGCTATGTTTACTTCGCGGCAAGGATAGAGGTCTTCCAGGATTAGTTTTATTTCGTCCACGGATATGGGGCGGATGGTCAAGTTTTCAATGGCGAGCAGATGGTCGAATGTGTCTCGCCACATCTGAGAGATCATACCGACTTGACGAGAATAAATGGGATTGACCGTATTTAACGGGTTGGATTCGAAGAGCAACGATTTGACGTTACTTAGCGGGAATCGGAGGGGGATGGTCGCAAATTGTGGTATGACCATGTTCCCTTTTACGTACAGAACGCCATCGACAACACTGACTATGTCGACGAAGGAATTGTCGTCGTCGTACTCTATCACGCGGCACTCTCTGATGTCTTGTAGATTGTCAAGATAGAAGATGTCCGATGGAAAGAGCGAGGAAAGTTCTTCTTCGCCGCGGGAGGTGAGCGATGAACCCCAAAAATGCATATCCGCAAGTTTGGGGAGGGAAAGATGCGATAACAAACGTGTAATGGCAAAAATACCACTACAATTATTCATGCTTAATTCCTGAAGGCAATCAAGGGCGACCAAACGGCCTGGCAGAACTAATGGGACATCATCGGAAAAAGGGCGGGTTCGCCCAGCGTCAATCAACGCAAGGCTCTCCAGTTGGGGTGACGACTCCAAAATATCGAGGAAGTCGGACGTACAAGGACGCAAGAGTTGATCTTGGTTGTACAGGCAGAGGTGCGTCAGGTTCGTGAAATACCTCTTTGGCCACGAGGTGAAGTATCCAAGACAAAGTTGTTTCAGTTTTGGCATCTAGTCATTGAAGAGCTTGTCAAGGGCAGGATTTAATCAGACGGAACGGGGCTCCGTATTCAGCAGCAGTGAGAGGCTAACTAGATTTGGTACACCAGCCCCGGTGAGGAAGTTCGAGGACCCGAGAAGCGTCCCAGTGTCCCAGAAGTCGGCATGAAGCTCACGGATGCGAGGTAACGACTTATGATGGCTGTTAGATATTGCTCATCAAAGTAGGGCTTTTTTACACCGGCAACAACCGTGAGGAGGGAGTCAGCGGATCGCTTTAAGAATGTGTAGGGACTGCGTTCGTTATCGATGGTGGCCCAAAGTGAACGATCCCGCGCCAATGACGACAGACGCGGAGGACGCAAAACCAGTCAGCGGCTTTATCGTAGGCACTCTGCGGCCCGACGAGGGGTAGGAAACTAGGAAGATGATGCTGTGTCATGCTGAAGATGACAGCGAGTATCTCAGGCGGGATACGGTTCACGGGCTGGAGGGAATTACGAGCGCCTCTGGCAACCGCGATGGCAGTTTGCAGACGTTTCTCCATCTTATTAAGCTGAAGACAGGCTTAAGTTTTGATGGAAAAAGAAAATTTCAGAGAGCCACTCTTACCTTGCACGTATTCCACTTGACCGCGCTGTGATAGCAAATGAATGAAATATATCCTTGCCAATGGCTGTAACACGCACTTTCTCTGTATTCTATACATTAAAGCATCCATGAGCTCTTCAGAGGTCATCGTACACGCACTCGCAGCCATGGTGCAGGATAAAAGAAACAAGAGCCACCGTTCTGGCGCATTGGCGTGACCTGTCACGAGATCAATGTCAACCAAAAGCAGAATCGGGCATAGCTGTAGGAGACACGAATAAGAAAAACGCACATTCACGTCCTCCCTCCCTCGACAATGGTGGGTAGCAACGTAAAATAGCTAGGGATATTGCTCCTATGGCCCTTGATTAAGAAAGGCATTCAAATGACAGTCCCTTAATCCGCTATCGTTGGAGCATCAGAACAGAATTGCAAGAGGAAGGGTAACAGAGATAGTTGCGATCCTTTGGCTTCGTCGAGAGGAAAGGCCATCAAGGAAAGGAGGCAAAGAGCCGTCGATGAGTTCTGATGGAGAACAGGACCGAAGTCCAGGCTTCTCTCCAACTTCTTGTCCAGCGCCGGCCTCCAGGGATTTTAGAAGAATTCATCTCTCCTTATTTCAAGAGGTGAGATTTAACCTCGGACAAGCTGATGATATACTGAGCTGCTTCCTCACCCTTAATTGACCTTATCAGCGTAGAGCCGCATCAGCTCAATAGGTGGGTCATCAATGCTTGATCAATGATTTCCTATTGATAGCCTATTAGGCTTGAATTTCTGAGCGTTCTGCAACCAACTATGAACAAGTATATATCCGCATCATGATAGACATTGGAATCCTGTAGCAAACTGAGGAGTCGGGGATGAGAAAAAAGTACATGCCACATTAATCAAACGGAAAGGCCTGAGCGCGAATCACCAACAGCCAGAAGCAAATATATCAGTGCAAGATACCAATCAACGCTAGACTCGGTGGCTAGAGGATATTCTCATTTCACATTCCTTCTGCCACAAATAAGCTTGTGTGGGCCATTCCTTTGGGGTCCAATGCCTATACGAGTTCGCTCTCTTCATCTGCTTCACGTTCCTAACACGTCTTTTCAAGGCATCTACACCATCTGACTGCGACGTGGTCCCCTCGACTTCGTCCTGATCATCCTCACATCCATCTTCCTCAAAATCACTGTCAGAATAAGATGAGTCCGGTACACTCCAGACGTCCACCCAGCGCTTAGCGGGAGATTTGTTTAGAGAGACAATCTCGACAGATTCAATTCCCCGACGTTCCTCCGCCAGAATCGCCATGAAGAAGGCGAGAAATGTCGATATGTCCGACATGTATTTCTCTATCCGTAGAGATGTGAGAAGGGGACATGGGAATGATTTGTCGGTACCGCGAGGATAAAGACCCTCCAAGATGACCTTGGTTTTGTGCATGTCACATGAGCGAATGGTGATAACCTCAAGAGAAGGCATATGTTCGAATGCAACCCTCCACATCCGAGAGATAGTGTCAAAGTGGGAGGAAGAGCTAGCATTGAAGAGCAGTCTTTTAATGTTATTCTGAGGGAATCGGAGGGGTAGTAGGGTGGCAAGCTCTGTTAATGCCGAGTTTCCGCGGATAAAGAGGACACCGTTTACAATAGCGACAATATCAGGGGAGGACCATCCCTCGCTCCCTTGCTCTATCAAGCGATACTCCTGGATGTTTTGAACGTTTTGGAGGCGAAAGATGTCTGAAGGGAAGAGGGAGGAGACTTCTTCTGGCCGTGGGACTAAGGGTTGACCCCAGAGGAACATGTTTGTCTGTTCAGGTAAGGTGAGGTGCGACAGCAATCTTGTGATAGAAGCGATACCGCTGCTTGTCTTCACGTTGATCTCGATGAGGTGATTGAGAACTATAATACGGTCGGCAGGTACTAGGGGTAGGTCATCGGGGATGTAACGTGTTGGTCCAGCGTCAATCAGTGCAAGCTTCTCCAGAAGTGGCGATGACTCCAAAAAGTCAAGGAATTCAGATGTTGAAGGGCGCGTAAGTGTGTCCTGGTTATGCAAGCAAAGGTGCGTCAGGTTCTTGAAATAATCTGGTGGCCATGAGGTGAAGAATCCGAGGCAGAGCTGCTTAAGTTTCGGCATGTCCCCCATAAAGAGTTTCGAAAGGGTAGAAGAGACTCCGAGAGCCACATGCCGCCGACGATTTGGCAGCAGAGAAAGGCTGACAAGGTTTGGTGCAGCGTTTTTTGAGAGGAAGACGCTGGACTCGAGAAGAGAGTCGCTGTGGCAAAAATCGACATGAAACTCGCGGATGCGAGGTAGCTCTCCGATTATCTTTGCTAAATATTGTTGGTCAAATTTTATCTTCGTCAAACCGACAATGATGGTAAGCAATGATTCGGATGAACGTTTCAGAAATGTGAGGGGAAAAAGACCATTATCAATGATTGCCCAGAGGGAATGAAAGGCGGTGCCTACACCGCGCCAATGACGGCAGACCTCGAGAAGGCTCAACCAATGACATCCTTTGGTGTAGTCAGTGCCTGGACCGACTAGGGGAAGGAATCCAGGAGGATGGTATTGTGTCATACTGAAGATTGCTGCGAGTAGTTCTGGTGGGATACGGTTGATAGGCTGATGTGAATTACGTGCACCTCTCACAACAGCCATCGCCATCTGAAGACGGTTCTCCAGGGCATCAATCTGAGAAATGGCTGAGGTTTGAATCACAACGAACGACCGCCACATACCTTTGCGATATCCCACTTAGGGGTGCTGTGTGAGATTGGAATCAGCAAGACAGAAGCTCTGAATAGAAATTGCACATACTTTTTCTGTATCCTATGCATCAAGGCATCTATGAGCTCTTCAGAGCTCAACTGCATCGTATTAAAAGCCATGGTGGAAAACAAGATATACCTAGACGCCGTGTGATGCCCGACGGAGAAAAATCGGTCGACATCATCGGATCGGTTAAAGCCGAGCAAAAACGGAGGTAGAATTACTGATAGTGGTTCCTCCTACAATATTAAGTTTTTTGAGGGTTGACCATCCTGTTAGGAGCGAATCAAGAGTACTGCCAACGTGATGATCTCTTAAGATTCTTCGCGCAGCCTGCAAAAGTCAAAGAGATGACAAAAGGTGAACAGTAGAACGGATTGAAGGATATTCAGTCAGGACGGGAAGATTTTCATCTTCTGAGACGATAAACGATGTGTGTATATTAAGCTGTTGGCAGTACGCCGGTGCCGGAATAATAATGGCAGTTGGGACTCGGGAATGTTAGCGTCGAAGCGGCATACCTCCGATATTCGCCAATAGAATAACTGAGTACGAGACAGTTTTATGGGCAACGGAAAGAATCAATAAGGAGAATATAGCCAATGACCTTGAGTTGCACCCAATAGTAACGAGGGCAAGTTGTTTGCAGGTCCGGAGTTCGGACCGATTTCCGCACAATCTAATTCCACTTGCGTTTGTGTACAACATGCCAATGTTAGATTCAGCCAAAGAGGGGACGAATGCTGGTTTTCTCGTAGTTCTTTCTGGTACAACGCTTCTTTTACCTAAGTCAATGTTTAGCGCCTCCTTTGACGTGCGTGTCTTGCTCCGATTGTAGTAATTTACCACTAAATGTGATCTAGCATACAATAAACATACTAGCGTGTCACTTCCCTGAAATTCCACCACACTGAATGAAACTCACGACAGATAATCTCGCTGAATGCGAGGGACAACTCACTATAGCAGCGGCAGCATGGGTGGAGATCTTGCTAGAATTGACGTGTGTTCGAGTTTGCGAAGCTGGAAAGGTTAACCAGACGAGTGAGATTTTACATTTCATATTTAGCTCGTTATTTGAGTGCGATTTATCATTTTTGTGTCATTAGCGATCTGTCACAAACTTATCCAGTGGGAGTCTGAGTCAGACTACTGGCACAGGACAAATGAAGATGACGTCCACGACATTTGTCCGATGCGTACGGAGGCGTTGGTTCATACAAGACGCGGTCGGACGCTCTCATAGCAACTCATCTATTAGCGTATGCATCTGAATTTGACAAAGAGCATCTGACGCTCCGTACCTTTAATCGAGGAATTGCCCTGGATGCAGATAAGACATATGCCGACAGCATGATCAAACGCTCCGCGATGTTGTATATTGTTGACGACGTCGTTACTTCACCAACAGGCATTAAATTCACACCTCGGTCATCTGTAGGCAACCTCCCAATCCACTCATGGATTATTTTGATTGCCAAAAATTCAAAATTTTGACCGTCAAGAGCCTCGATAAGCGGAGACTGCTCCCAAGGTCAATGCTAGGAACATACAAATTTATTTTACTATGATATTTATGGTCATAACTCCTTGCAGTGCTGTGGCTCTTGTTAGGGGGCAATTGATGCGATCGCAGCTCACTTTCCAAAGATACAAAATGAGACATTAATTTTAAAAACGAGCGCTTTTCCCTAATGCCAAGGCGAATATATTGATATCCCACCGATAATTTGGACTGACGCGAGATGACATCCGTTGACATCATCGTCGAGAAGAACGAAGGATCTACCAGAAAATATCCAACAATACGAATATTATCCCCGACTGGAAGGTAATTCGATGTAACCGTAATTAAGGAACAAGTAGCATCATGGATGTTTCGGATTCCAGTGAAAAGAATAAAAATGCAGCGATTAATTGCTCTAAAATCTAAACCACCTTCTGAAACATATCGCTCCGAGTGGCGGGTTCGAGTCGGAGTATAGAGGACTGTTTTGCCGACCGTTGATGGTCGACGGTTTGACGTAGTTCCGTGGAATGAGGTAATTTTCCACTTACGAACCGATATTAGACATATTTAGATTCTAATCAGCCATACGATATCCGCGCGGCAATGTAGATGACGACCACGCATATCTAAACCGGACGTTGCAATTTTTTGGTCTAGAAGCAGAGGATCGAGCAGTTCATATCATGAGACTGCCTCTTCCAGCTTTTCTTCTATCTGAGGCATCTTCGAAGTGATGGACTATCTGAACTCGTGGGCGGCCCATATATTGCTCTGGTTTTTGTCTCTCAGCCCATTTATGAACCTGTGGCGCAGTAAAGATAAAACCACAACCGGATGTTGTTACGCGGATTCTCATGCCCTAGAAAGGTGTTCCGGTGGACCATCTCGGACGATGGGTTAATGCTGTCAAGCGTGCTAAAGAAGGTGTGCAGAGGTGGAAAGATATAATTTATCTAGACAACAGGCAATACGACGAGACATTATATCGGGTGTGGCAGTGGGAAATACTTGTGTATCACGCTGACGAACTTTAGTACTGATTCCCGCCATGTAAATATAACGTAGACTGGCTACAATCATCTCATTGAGAACCATTCTACTATCGCAGGAGATCGCACCCTTATCTAAGGTAAGATTTCTGTTGTGAGGGATAAGTAGTTGACCTTGCAGAAGAATTCGAGAAATAACAGATTTTGATAACGTGCATAGGATAGTTGAGCGCTCTAGTAATGATAACTGCCACGATACTGAGAATATCCCTGTTCCACGCCCATATCATAAGCACCCCCGTCTTCATACTCCTCATCCTCCGTTTCCTCAGACATTCGTGAGGCTTTCCTTTTCGCCTCCTTTTCCGCTGCCACCTCCACCGCTGCCCTCTCCAAGCAGAACAAATATTCGTCAGCAATATCTCGTTTCATGGTGACCGTGACGCGCCACGTATCATTTCCCGGCGTCCAGAATGATGAGATACCGAAGTCGTCGAAGGTGTGGTCCTCCGTGATGGCCCAGTTCGGGTCGGTGCCTGCACCTTTGAGTGCGCCTTTCGTACATTCCTACAGTGGATGTGTTAAGAGGGGAGCGGAAAAAAGCGAGAGAGAGAGGGGCGTACCAAGATGAACGTCTTTATGTGACTAGCCAAAAGGAACGCAAGGTCTTCATGCGTACGAATGCCTGCATTTTGGGGAGAAAATGCAATGATCCTCCTCATATCGTATCCCGGCCACTACAGAAATGGGTTTATATTCAGTATTAACCACCAACGAGGAGAAGCTAAACCTATTCACAGAAAAGTGCCAGACGTATTCAATCCTCCCTTTGAACCTCTCGTCCCAGAAAGCCGGGACGTGGGAGTCGGCGAGGTGCCGTCGTGCAAGAGCAACGAGTGCCCCGAGACCATACTGCCTGGTGAGGTCGTGGAGAACAGGATGGTGCACTCAAAAAACTGGGAGATCCACCTGAGGAACAGGGACGTTGAATAGCACCCTAGGCCTCTTTGATTGTGGGATTTGAAGACGGCTGTCGGGCTTGACCATGAACACGTGTGGTCGATAGGAGCGCGTGCGCCCATCCGGAAGACGAACGGTGGCTTCTGAAGGAGAGAGGCTTGGATAAACAGGATTAGATGCCGGAGGGGGCATGTAGCATGCCTGGATGATGTTTAGTTGATACGTCATTGAGAAGAAGAAGAAGAAAACGAACATATTGGCGCAATGTCTCGAGATCTCCCTGGAGAATGATCAGCTAGAGGGTCAAGTAACAAAGGGAGAGGCACAGATATGTTGTTTCCCTTTGGATCTCGTCTTCCTTGGAGCTTTTGAACTGGTCGTCTTGGTGCCCAGCATGATGAAAGAAAAGTATCGGACTCAGTAGAGGATGATGGGACCGTAGAAGACCTGAACGTTTTTATTGTCCTCAAGGTCCAAGTGGCAGGATGTGTTTTCCGAGTTCGGAGCACAGTAAAAGCAGTGATATTGACATAGCTGTATTGTTAGATGAGCATTGTACGAACAAAGCCAAGGACAAGTCGTCTCCATCCGATCATCTTTTGACAAGAATGAAAGATCCTTAAGGCAAACAATCAATAGGCGCACGAACATGGATTTGCCAGCTCCCACCTTCAAAAGATAGACTTGTCCTCAGTTTACCCGAACAAACGAGCAGAAATGCAATCTGAATTGCGGCACCGGCCTCTTTTAACATCGAGGCCTTTTACGGACCAAATGAACACCCGACCCACCAAGGCGTTGGCACGGTCATATTGCAGTTGACTTGGTCTTTCGCGACAAACTGGTCACAACTGGGCCAGTAATAGACCGATGCGTCGGTGGAAATTATATATCGGCAACTAACATAACAGACAGATGCAGGATTTACCCAGTCTGGCCAAGACATCTTTATCTCCTGGCCGACGTGCTAGAAAAGACAGGGGAGCACCAGGTTCGTTCTTCCGAGACAGCAGATACAAACCGACAAAGAATGCGTATTGTCCATCCTTCCAACAACTGCGGGTGTCCTTTGTGGCCTTAGCTAGATAAATCCAACACGACGTGTTTATTAATAGAGATGAACATCATATATCGTATTTGCCACTTCATACGGAAGGAGCCATCGGTTGAAGGCTAGTCAGAGTTCCGCTAGCAAGGGAATGAGCCAAGGAAGGAATGAAAACGATAAGCTCACGTTGTTGGATGCGGACGGCGCGTTTTCAGAGAGGAAGAGGCGCGTCCCACTGGAATTATAGAACTGCTTTGACCATGGCCAGAGAGAGACCGATCTCGCTACCACGGCTGCCACCAGAAATTCTTGCTACCGCTAACCATGACCAGTGTTACAGGTGGATTGAAACCAAGCGAATCTAATACCGGGAAGATTAGATAGACTCAAAGAGAACTGGGGCACATATGTACGCTCTGGCCAATCTCGCTCTTCAGAGAGAATTCGAAGATTCTAGCGAACAAAGACTGGCTGAGATATCTGTAGCTTGGATGACTTCGGTAACTGTAATTGCCGAGATAAGATCGTATGAATGTGCAACAATAATCAATCAAACGTACCGGCGCCGAGCTATGTGCGACATCACATAAAACACCAGACCAGGTAGAGCAGGCTTCTGGGACTCGTCCGACGTCCTGCGAGCTTCCCGTCAGAACCCTTGACAACAGATGAGAAGGAATAAAGGAAGACAGGACGACTAATTTACCGGAATGGATTGACTTCAGTCCAGCAATGGTTATTCGCGGTGCAGAAGAAGTCCTATCGGATAACCGGCCCAAGGAAACGATTAACAGGATTTGACTTTCAGTTTGTGCCGGTGCGGGTGCTTCGACATACTATACAATTTAGATCTGCAAAGAGAGTATTATTGGCCATGGAGGTTAGAAAATAAAGACGACTTACATGAACAGCGACAATAAAGGAGCAATGGCTTTCTTGAATCGTAATTGCAGGATCCAAGGACATGCTATACGTTTTCCCTACAACGATGAGTGCATATAGCACGAAGAGCTGGGAGAATGACGCGAAGATGAAGCGTCTGTTGGAACTCTGTTTCTTCCTGAGAGGAGTAAGACACCGATAAATAACCTTTTACACGGTGGGATCTGATTCTTGGATTAGTGACTCGGAAAGCTTAGAAAATGTAGACATAGATTAAAGAAGATCATACCCCCACCGTCCACGGATCTTGGGTCTCTTCTCTCGCCAAGTACCTGCGCAAAAGGAAAGTTCAAAACATTGCCACAAAAGTCGATATAATCCGAGCGCCAAAGAGGATGTTGCTACGCGACACAAGCCAATCTTGCGCTCCCATATTGGACTTTGTGGGCAGTCTCTGAGAAATGGTGGTGAAAAGAGGGTATCGTGGCGCGGATTGCCAAACCGAAGCTCCTGGAAATGTGACACCAATCAGCGGAAAATTCTACACTTGTTGAACGATACAGACCTGGGAGTCACGGTTCAGAACGCACAGACACGCGCCCGATAACGTTGGTCCAACGGTTCAAGGGGTGTCGAAGCTGTGTAAGGAACATGCATTAAATAACGAGAAAGGAAAAGGCAGTCGACGCACCTATTGAACGGGTATTGATACCAATATCCACGGTTCATATGGCGGAAGACAGCGTTAGTGCGAGACAGTCGTGCGAACGGCCATGAACTTGGTATCTAGTTGGTAAAGGTAAACTCTGCTGAATGCAAGAGGATAGCAAATTCCGCCGACGGTTCTGGAAGGTGACAGCAGCGGACCAATCATCCTGTCATGAGAGAGTCAGGAATGGATTGACTGCATCCGAGGAGTGTTACAATATTCCCATCTCTTTACCACCCGTGTTCTTGCAGTTCGCTAGCAATTATCTTCCAGCCAGGAAATCGTTAGAGGTATCTCTCCAGTGCGAGGCGCCTCGGGAGTGGAATCGGATAACACAGAAGATATACTAGAGATGTTCTCCGCTTTGAGGCAATGAGTGGAGCGCCGGTGGTGGCGGAAAATGAAATGAAAACATTCTCGGGTCGGCTATGCCGGCATCTACCATAACACGCGCGGAACGACCCGGTCTTCATATCCCGACTTCGCTTTCTGCCATTCGCGGTGACTGTTCTTGCTAGCTCTTGCACAAACGAATACTGAATCTGGTTATAGAGTATCATATCACTTCTTGAAAAATATTCTGGACCTCTGTCTCGGAATCATTCTGATTCATTTCCAAATTGCTTCGCTTGCAGAAAGCTCTCTGAATCTGTCGTTCTTTTCTACATCTGTTAGTTGCCATTTCTGCCACATAAATATCTAACTCAGAGGTTAATTTTGAACTTGGAGCCGCCAGCTGTATCAAGATATTATTCTGCTGCTTGTTGTTGAACAATCCCAGCAACGCAACCTGATATTTCTCTGTGATCACAGAATCCTCCTAGCTCTGCATAGAATCTCATTGGGTCGCTATGTCAAAATTTAAAGATACAGTACCGCCATATCTTTATCGGGGTCCTCACAAATCACGATTGTCGGCATAGTTGTTCGATTACACTGTTACCGTACACTTGGAAGCATTTTCACTTTCGAGCATAGGATGCACAAAGAATCTCGCAGAAAATCACTCTTTGTAACTTTCTTGATATTGAAGGATGTGTTCAAGAGTCGATCCAGACGACGCGCATCTAGGAGAGAAACATAACGGCACGTGATGTGACTGACGCGCGTTGAAGCTGCCGGCCTGACGGTTACTTGACAGTTGCGAAAAAACGCAACATCGCGGTTTTCCTTTGTTCCCCTCCCGTTTACAAAAGCCAACCGCACAACCGATTGCAAGGCTCGAAGCTAACCATAAAGGTCCGGGCATGCAACTTGTCGAAATCGATTACGATGCTGTTCCCCATACGATCGTGATCAAATCATCAGAGGAGTTTCGAGATAGAAAAATTCCCGAGGATCACATGGAACACGTCGAGGCCACAGAACCCCGGATGACCGTGATGCTATAAAACTGATAGATTGTTTGATGCAATCGTGACCTATCTATTTGACTGGTCCACACTCGTTTAGATGTTCTCTCTCTCTACCACCTCATACTGGTAACTACGAATTTGATCCTTATCCGACGAGGAAAAGATAACCATGAGATACTCAGATCTGCAATCACGAGGTACAGTACATTCTAAGAGGCGAGAATTCTAGAACAAAAGCGCAATTGAAAATAATGAGTAGAACGGTCGAATATCTACAGCGGCGCTTCGCGTCATTCCGTACAAGTCACCTTCCACGCCCGTGGCAACAGAGTTTCGAGATCCCGAATCTCGTTCTTGATGCTCCTTGACAGCCAAAGATCCATTTCCGTCATATCAGGTCCCCTATACACACCGTCTACAATCCAACACTCCAAGCGGTTACGAAGCAACGTCCCCACGCTGTGTCCAGGACGAACACAAAGTACCTTGCTCGATGCGGAGAGACACCAAGTCTCCAGATCGGACATGTTTAGGGCACGACCTACAAGTTGCCCGTCGTTCAAGTCATTGAGATTGATCGGGTAGTTCATGTATTCCATGAACACACTGCAAGGCGAGTAGAGGTATAGGTGCCTGAGCGAGGTAAGTCGACGAATAAGGCGCAGAGAGAGGGGAAGCTTGTCTTCATCGTGCAGCCATTCATTCTTCGTGACCGTCGGAACAGTGTTTGTCCGGTGATCCCCATGACAAACACGGTCGAGTGTGAGCGTGTTGATCTGGTGGAGAGGGAGATAGTCTATAATGTTCTCGATTGCGTCGGTGGAATCCGTACACCAAATAGCTTCAAGGTTAATAATTGTCAAGTCGTGGATGGCCGGGAGGTCAAGATATTGCAACAAAAGTCTGACTTCTTGTGAGATTGTATACCCGAGAGTGAAGTGACCGACACGGGGAAGAGTGAGCCTTCTGTTGGTAAGACCGAAGTCATTGGGAAACTCGTCTGTGGAGATAACACCATTAAGCTCGAGAACCTCCACGGTATCGACACTTCCAGCCAGGATCCCTCGTAAAGTGGAGGCTCGCGTCGTCGTGAAATGGTGCTGATCCTATGCGAATGAATACATCGATATCTAGATGAGATGAACGTTTGAGAAGTGAAGACACTCTAGGGAAGACCGCCTTGGGTCCCAAGTCGGGGTCAAGGACGAGCGCTGTAGCGGCCGGGCTAATCTGGCGAGCATTCGGTGATGTAGAGGCGCGTCCACAGGGGTGGATAGTTAACTGCTAAGGCACGCCATCCTTTACATATGACGGAGAGGAGGAAAGGATAGTCAACCCGTCCGCTGGTCCATAGTGCGATGGTAAAAATTTCGATTAGAAGCTCGTTCGGGAGCTTCGTAATATGGTCCTCACGCGTCGTCTGTTCGGGTAGCTGCACGGAAACGCGAAGGCTATAGTGAACGTCAGAAAGGCACTAATGTGTCGATGTGTTGAAGACATAGACACACTTCTGCATGACGGTGACTGGAATATCGAGACTTTAGGGGAAGAATCAGAAGAAAGTATGGGAGAGAAGACGTGTAGTGGCTGCCTCAAGCAAGGCATCCTTATATGGTTGCCTTTGTTTGCAAACAAACAATGAATTTTGTGACGCCGGGTGCCAGTGGCACCTAGGATCATAGGCGAATAGATTGTATGGTCTTTACGAAGGAGGTCGTAGGTCAGCGTCTTGGATTCGGTTGACTGGCGATGAGGCCCCTCAGGGGTCATAGAGAGGTCCGAGGGTGGCGTTTGTGGCGATCACTGATCGAACCACGGGGACCTGTATGTTTCGTTATTGCTCCCTGGCAGGTCAAAGCGTCACTTTCGTTGACCAACGACGCAAATGAAGATATCATAGACAACCGGGCATTTATTTTGTCCATCCTGAGTACTTCATAACTGTCGGTAGCTGAGTCGTGCCCACGCGGTACCCGGCGGAAATATAGCTCCGCGACGATGGGTACTCTGCTGATTAACAGATTAGCAACCACACGGCGAAGATATATCATCATGGTCTGACGAACCTGCAATACATTAACGCAACAGAACCGCCAGAGAAAGTGCCGGTGGCCAATAAGTTGCCGCAAGAAACTCTATAAGTGATTCGACGGATCTGCCGAGCCATTGATAAATGAGAAAGATAATCAGCGGGGAGTAGGGAGAAACTTACAGGAAACAGCGGACTGGGGATTTTACAAGTAGGGTGTGTCCGCACGAAGCGGACGAAGGCTCAAAAAATTGAGGTTCAAGGCCTACCATGGCAAAATGCCATACTCCCCCCCAAAAGAGGATGGAGACAAGAGAAACCGACAAAGATTCGGCCTAGAGACAAGCTCGAAATCTAGCGCGGCACGAAATCATGTCAATCTCCGCCTCAAACGCGGAACGGAGGTGGAACGTTAACATTCAGATAGGGATACAGAGACCGGTCGTTCAAGAAAACAGAGAACGAATGACAATTCAAGGACGAACCGGACCAGAGTTCGGATATCGAGATCGTTGCAAAGCATCGCAGAAAGACATTTCGCTGTAGACAAAATGTCAGTCTAGGCGAAAAATGAATGAATGCACGCCGTACCTCCACCAGCGACCCGTGAGCTGTACACACTGTCCGCAAGGCGGCACGGAATGTGGCGTCCTTTCGAGGGTAGCTGCATAGAGTTATTCCCGGCATTTTGTAGTACCACCATAGAGTATATGAAACGACCGGGAGATGTCGACAAGGAGCGTTCATCAGAAGTATCACATAGCCAGGGAGATTCTCGTCATCGACGACGAATCAGGACATCGTACTCTAGGATTGAAGGCGACAAACAAGGCCGATGTCCAATCTGCCAAACATAATTGAAAGATATTCAAGAGAAGGAAGCTGGACACTCACTTTCGTGCCTGTAGCGCAAGAGCGTAGGTTGGCGTGGCTTATGGTCGTACTCAACAACGTAGAGAGTCCAGCAGCTATAGAATGCACCCAGTCTGCAGGCACATCATTCGCCAGGTAATCGCGACATATCATGATGCTGCCCAAGCGTGTGGTCTGCTGGGTGTGGCTGACAAGAGAATCTTCCGTATTCGTGAATCTGGTCCACAAAAGGCATTAGAAAGACATCGGTAATCGAGCTCTTCAGTCTCCAGGTGCGACGGCGGCGCTGACACGAAACCATGGGTACCAGAGTTGGAGGTGGCAATGTGGCTCAACCATCGTTCGTTTGCGAGATCTAGGGGCAGTAAAGAAAAATAGCCCTTGAAGAAAGAGCTACAAGAAGGGGTCGGTGGCTATGACACGGTAGTGGTCATGATGGAGGAGAGAAAAGAAAGTCAAAGTCAGTGAATAACAAGCCACGCGCCTTTTATAGCAGCGTTGTTTGTGCCACCGAAATAAATCCAGATCCAGATCCCGGGAGGAATCATGTCTGAGTCATGTGATAAGGCCAGGTTGGTATCGGTGGTTTGGCGGTGCTATCGATCTGAATGGACCGTCAACGTTGTGTCGAGCCAGCAGAGAATGCCACTTTTTCAACAGATGGGCAAGACTACATGAATGCGAGAATGAACATTGGCCACTGGAGGACAAATGCAGCAGGCCCAAAGATGCTTTCCAGGTATCTGTCAGCAAAAGAAGGAGTTCCAATATGAGGGTGCCAAGCTTGAAGGTGTGAGCACAGAGTAGTACCATGATATCCTGCATAAACCTGCAGCCATACAAATGTGTAATATTTAATCCAAATATTGCTATCCAGGATAATCAGACCTCTTGGCATAGTACCATACTGATACACACTCAGAACCTGGTCTCAACATCTATGAATCAGTCCAATGTCAAATCACCATTTGAATCCTATGTCTTTTCTGGCTCTGTTCTGAATCAAATTTTGAGACAACCCATTATAGTGAATGCAGACTCACTTCACTCATGATAATATAAAACTCTTATCTAAACCCAAATTGGATGTTCAGGGCCATGCTGTACAAATACTCAGAGCATCAAATGGAATTTCCTGTGAACATAATCAGATTAAAAGCTGCTGACCCTCAGGCCTCAAATCTTAAGGCTCACCTCAGAAGTTGAAGCACTCTGATCCCTTGTCAGCAATGACAGCCAAAAATATGAGTTGACCCAGGCTCAAACTGAGGACCTTCTGTGTGTTAGACAGATGTGATAACCAAATACACCATCAACCCAATGTCTCAGACTCTCCTGAGGTTCTGTCGATCTTGAGTTATCTGAATCCAGCCAAAGACACAATAAAAATGTGCTAAATGACACTCAAAAAACAGTATTCTAGTTACTAATTACATTCTCAGCAGCCAGAAAAATCAAACTCATATGCAAATGATAAGAGAATAGCTGTGAGCACCTGGTTAGAGCTAATCCTAAGTACACACCTTCCCTATCATGTCTTTTTCATGACAAAGACAGGCTACAATCACAGCCCTAACAAAAGGGTCAGAGCCACAGCAGGATAAATAGAGAATTGTCTCAGCAATATCATGATAAATTAAACAGCTACAGCTTACACAAAGATGAACTGGGTTCTCTAGGCAAATGGATACAATGGTGGAAAGCTACAGTATGAACAATGAAAAATTACAGCAGTCAATCCTCTAAAATGCATGTGACCCCAACACATCTCTGGACAGCACAGCAGTGATAAACTTGAACATCAGCACTGCTGTTCCATTGTATGATAGAGACTGAAGTGTATATCTTATTTTCTGCCTCCATGGAAATACAACAGCAGCAGTCCATAGCCTTCTAGCATTCTGTGCTTCAAGTCACTCATAAGTTTTCTGGTCATGCTTTAGGCATATCCTCAAGTTACATAGTAGAAGTGAAGCCTTTATGAATCATTGAGACTCACTTGAAGCTTGTAAACTACAAACATCCGCCCTAGAATAATGGAAGGCCTGTCAAGATATAATATCAAAGGTGACAGGAAACATACCAGTTCATACAGCTTTTTTGACCCACTCAGTCATTTCATAATTTTGTTATCAATGCAGAGCAGAACAGGTTAAATCTCTGACTTAACTTTTTTTTTGGTCTGGATGAGATATAAGCCATCTATCTCATTGCTTCTATTCCTTAGTTTATACACCAGCATATACTACAGCTTCTAACAATGATAGATGAAGTTGGCAGGCTTTGAAAGATGCAGGGTAATGAGCAAAATTGCATCACAATGGTCATTGGACCTGAATGATCCATGATAACTCACTGGTTCCATGAAATATTATATTCAGATATGGCATCACAAAGATTCTCAGAATTACTGTTATATTGCTTTGTAGAAAAACTACCCAAGAAACTGTCTGGTTCTAGAGCCTAATTTTAAGCCTCTGCCTCTATTATATCTTTAAGGAATAAGAAGTTATCATCACCACTTTTCACATCTTGAGGTACATCATCATTACCATTGAGCACTCATGCTATATCAACATCTTTAGTGAGCTGAAAATATTTGTTTTGAGGATGTCTTTCAAAGAGGGATGGATGTACTAGGACATTTTTAAGAGTCTATAAGAAAGTTTGATGTTTAGAGTATCCATCACAGTCCCTTTAAAAACACCATCATATGTCTTCCTGAATAACCATCAAAATTGATTATACAGGAACACCAATGCAGCTTAGCAATCCAAGTTCTTCTAATTATATGCTTCAATATTTATTGCCTTGAGGGTGCTAAAATTAATCAATGGAGCTATATCATCCTCACTCTTGTCCTCATTGTCTTTGATATTATGGCATGTCCACAGATAGATTGCAAAGGACATGAACATAGAGCATGGAGAGATAAGGGAAAGTTCTCTAATGATTGTAAGCTTGTGAATGAACCTCAGAGGGATGGGCAGGTCATTTTCAGACTCAAATCCCCCCTCTCCTCCATACATACCACACATACATCTTTCATCAGAATAACATCTTTAAGTTCTGAAAACTCAAAGCAAATCTTTGATAGTTTTAGAGAGGTAATCTAGTGCAATGAAATGCACTTCACAATATGTGTGAATGCATTGTCCAAGGCAGAAACAGCACAAATTGATAGTCTTTGATATGCAGGTTGCAAACAGCAGGTAGATCAAGGCATTGGAGGATGAGCTTGACTTCTTTTATTGTTCAACTATAACCAAGACAGAAACAATGAATGTGAGGAAGGGTTAGACCTTCCTGCTGGACTGGCTCCTCAACATTGCAGATGGTGCCTAAAAGTGACAAAACTTCAAGGGTGTTGACAAAATTAGAAAGAACAACATGCAATTATTTGGAAGCCTGATGCCCAGTAGTACTGATGCATTAGGCAACCATACCAGGTAGAAAAGAGGATATATTTATTGCTTTTTTATCTAGTTAGCTATCTTGTATCCACCATAGTAAGATATACTAAGCAAGTGATTATCTGAAGAGAGCATAGTTTTCTCAAGTGTGATATCCCTATGTCTAGCAAAGACTGGAGCATTAGTGAACCTCTCTGTTCAACACACAAGGTTTCCAGGTCTGGGGACAGGGATCACATGATCAGCATGTTGGCAAAGACCAAGGCTCAGCCTGATCAATTGACCAGATAGCCATGTATAAGCTCATATCTGTCAGGAAATGAGTTTAGCCTCTGTGATTGGGTCAGTAAGTATATTAGTCAGTAGTTGATTATGTTAGTCAGACATGTGTAGCTAGAAAGTATAAATACCAGGTCATATATAGAGGGAGAGGCAGGTTTCTGACTCTCCCCCCTGAAACACCATCAGGCAAATAGTACAGATTGTGTTTGGTTAAGATCTTTGAGTCATAGACTCAACCTGAATGGCATTGTGGTGACCAGATCACTTTGTTTTGTGCAAGAACTCCCAGAAAGCAACTGAAAGTTTATATCACACAGTCAGAACAGACCCAAGACAGTTCAGAACAGCCAGTATCTGTGTATAAGTCACAACAGGCACGTCATATCAGTTCAAAAACTGCACCAGGCAGTACAAGTTCACAACCTGCATCAGACAGACCACTTGAGATAAGTTTTGTTGTGTTCAGTGACACAGACAGCTTTGGCTGAGCAAACTGCAATATACACCTTTGAATTACATTTTATTGCACCCCATCTATGTTATATTCTCTACATACTTGGAATCCAGGTATTACCATTCCTCCCTCAAACCACATTGCAATTGAGTTGTTAGTGTTTTGGTGGTGTGCATCCTGCACATTGTTGATTCATTTAGTGCCACTTCTCAGCATTTCAGTACTAGCAGTATTTCAGCAGACCTTGTAGTTTATGGGCCTAGCAGGTCAGAGCATCTAAACTATCCAAATAAATTCATGCTGCATCTAGTTTTATTGACTTGATCACAACATGGAGAAACTAATGATCTGCTACTAGGCAAGAGATAAAACACTTAAAGTCCAAAAAAGGGTTCAGGACCTTCAACTGAAAGTTCTTCCCTACCCAATGGTCCTCGGCTTTAGTTACAATCAGCAACAACATTGCTCCCAGCAGTAATAGTGTCATTAAGCTTTGTTTGTGCCTCCATAACTGCAGTGTCTCCTCTGTTGTCCAATAACAGGTGGTAAGAACATGGATAGGGTTGAAAGAGAAACAAACTTGTGTAGTGATTCCATCCAGTGCAGACTGGGCAGCAAGCAGACCAGTCTTGACCTCATTGTGAGCTGTGGCAGGAGCAGTCTGCCCCATCAAGAGAGCTCCAGCGATGGTTTTGATACCAGTACTGGCGGAGTCTAATCCCGACTGAGGGGCAGTGACTGCAGTGCCTGTGGTAGTAGAAGTGCTAATGTATCAATGAATAAGCATTTCGTGCATTCAAAGAGTATAATAACACATTTACCTGGTATTGATCTCCTGAAGTGCAGACTTTGTGGCCGCAAGCCTGGAAACTGTCTTGAGATGCACGACGTTGCATTGAATATCACCCATCTGGCGGCCTCTCAGAGGAACTAGAGAACCTCATCAGTAAGGGGTTGGCTAAAAACTAGCAGCAACACATTTACCAGCTTCAACTTGGAAGAAGTAGGCCATCAAGGCCACGGACAAAGGGGCGATGAGGAAGCGAGCCGTTGTTGAAACAAGAAGAGAATTGGAGGGAAGTAAGGGAAGTTGAAAGTTGAAGGTAGTCACCAGGTCTGGAAGAGAAGTGGAATGGCGGATTTCAAGACGAGCCGAGCTTCTTATACCACCTTGGATTTCGCATTAGCCTCCTCTCTGTCAGGAATGGTTTGATTAATTTTTGATATGGGGACCGTACAGCCTTAAGTTGACATAGTGATTCGAATCAGCCTAACGAGGAGGAGGAGTTCAAGAAGACCGATGGAAATTCAAAGGGTCGTTGCTTAATTTCGCCCCCTGATGTAGCGACTCTGGCCCAACGGGCCGTGACATCTGCTTTGGCTGAAATAAGTTATCTAACACATTGCATCAACTCAAAAGGCAGTTTGAAGTTTAATGCAGCAGCGATTTAACGCATCAAAGAAAGTAGTGAGAAAATTGAACTGCTGCCGGAAATATATACTTCAGCTCAATTAGAGGATTTTTCAAATCAGAGCAACTCACTCACCTGACGCGGGAGCGGTTGAAGAGATGTCCGCATCACCGAACATGACGACACAGTTGAACAGCTGCCGATGTGTACCTTTAACCGGGGTCCACGAAGAAAGGTGATTCAGAATGATCAGCACATTACCAGAGGAATTGCAGAGTATTGCACGACATCGCACTGGTTGGCTTCACAGGTTTTCGCGGGTACAATGGAGCTCAGTCGGCAGTGAGTAGTGATCGATGGTTGTCGTACATGCCAAAATTATGTAAATAGAGAGAGTAACATGATGTGAATGAAGACGACTGGCAAACTACTTCGGAAAGTCAGAGAACTTGAAGAGCGCTGATGCCCGGTCACAATCAACCCCAGGGCGTACGGTTCCATTCATGCAGCGTCCTTAATACTTTGCATATCTGCAGGTGCCTACTATGCCAATCAGCTTTCATGCATTCCTGAGAATAGAGGTGTGAGGAGTCGGAATATGGGCATTGGACACAACACTAACCCCTGAGCGATATCGTGTTTTGCACCGGGCACATCCTAAGCTCTCTTTCTGGGAGTTGCAAACTACGCATGAAAAGAAAAGCCCGTCGTCTGAGCGCTTACGCAGTTCCACATTTAGCTCTCGGAGGTTTGCAAGACCGCAAGGCAGAATCTGTTTGTTATTCGTTAGCAAAGACATCAATGAAATCAAGGTACCACTTGACGAACCACTACGTCCCAGGGATCCTTGATTTTATACCCATATCGTCCGTCAAGGAACTGCTTGGGTATCCCGTCCTTGATGCAAATCATGTGTCCCACTTTGCATTCCTTGGCGTCTGCGGCTGGATTCTCTGTGTAAAAGGCGACTACCCAATAATGTCCCGCAAGTTTATCCTCTACTCGAAATGTTGGTCGAAAGACAGTCTCGTCTGATACAATCTGGGCGCATGCCAGGTATCAGTACCGATAGGCAGATACGGCAGATAGGGGTAGTAGCTAACCTCGGTGAGAATGTACCAGTTTTTTTTCTCATGCGGGGGAAGGATAGGTACATGAGCGATATCAGGAAAGGCGATATTATCCTCAAGATCTACAGCGTAGTGACTCAGAGATACCGCCATTTAGCTATTTTGCGTGATGAATGTTGCTGGTCAAGATCAACCTGGGATTCCAGTTGGATGAACGCGTCCAGCATTACGTACTCATATTTTGCATACGGCGACTCTTATAGTTTTTTTTCTTCTCGAGTGCGCCATATGTGCTGGTCAAAGCAGATTTAAAGGTACATCTACAATGGCGGCAAATGATGTCTGCGACAGAACAGATTGTCCTATCCGGCGCTCATGTCTATACATTGGTATCATGGTGTGTTCCGGAAGCCCATCAGATACTGCATACTGTGGAATGCGGCCTGGAAACGAGTTAAAGTGATCAAACTCTTTATTGTCTGCTCTGGAATTTCACGTACCACAGGAGAGCATTTCAGGATCCTGCGAAGTACAGCAATCAGTGGCATTTATGGTCTTCCATATCAAGGAGCATACATGTGTCCGCCGGAGTAGATAAGTCATCCGGTGGGAGGTAGACTAGCTGCAGATTGCGGATACCGCCACTGAAAGAAAAGCAGCGAGTGGCATTTAAGAATAGAGAGGCTTCGAAGAGACGGGTATATCGCATTGTGCCACGTTTCCAATGGGATAGAAGGGTGGCCTGGATATTTCATCAACGCCAGTCCTTCGTTCGTAATGTCCAAATAATCGTGCCGAAATCGCAATTCTTGCAAGCGTGGCATAGGCTTATTTATGAGAGCGGAGACGAGATCGGCGTGGATGGACCAATCTGCGGTAAGGATATAGAGAGATAGAAAGGGATGGGTATGTGCACCGAGGAGTAGGGAGAGGCAACGGGAGTGGTCACTGGTGAAGGAAAATCCTGTGTGACCTTGACAGCTTTTGGAGCAATACATTACTGGATCGCAAAGATGTTGCCGGAAGTTGGACCAAATATCGACTTTGACATCGATGTCGCACCTTGCAGAACGTTCCAAGATACGGGAAAGTTTTGGGAACGTCGAAAGTGGGTCGTCGACTATGGCCAGGGAGCACATTACATCGTCTGGTAGGAAGCCTGTGATGTTTACTTCGATCCATAGGGTAGAACATTTTTCGACGAGATCCTGCCACTGCTTGCATACTGAACACAGTATGAATTGACCGATATGCTTTTAGGATCAGCCTGTTGGTCCTGGCCGACAGCAAGATTGGCAAATATTTCCAGAAGGAACTCGAACAGGCAATCATTGATGAGGTTTCAAAGAAAGTCCCCAAATTTCGACAGGTCTTCAGAATGAGGGGCTTTATTGAGGATAAATTGTTGGAGTTAACGAGGTAGGAGCATGGATGTGGTGAACAAGGAAAAAGTTTTCAGAAGAGAATGGACGCTAGGATAAAATGTTGTAACATTAATCTCAGCATTATAGTTGAAAGCTATGTTATTTACCTAGGATAAAATGTCATAATGTTACTACATAGGTAATAAGTAAATACGGTCAAGGATAGATATGTATAGAAGGTACTCACATCTCAGTGTTATGGTTGAAAGCTGAGATGTGCGGAACGGTGTGACATGCTGAAAAAGGAAGGAATATTGAATAGGTAAGCAAACATATGCGTATCATACTATTTCTACATCTAACACTTCCTCTCGAAACATAAATGGTTTGCTTACATGATGCCCAGTGCCTCTGCAAACTTCTTGAATTTTGGACAAGCTAATGGTTTGGTGAGGATGTTGGCAACTATGTTATCAGTTGGGCAGTACATCAGTCTGATGTGGCCTTGCTCAATAGTTTGGTGAATGAAATGGTACCAAACTCCAGTATGCTTCGTTCATTCATGGAATACTGAATCCTTGGCAATAGAAAGTGCATTTTGACTATCAGAAAAGAGGATGGTAGGATTTGTTGGATAAATGGAAGGGTTTGCAATGAAGATGGAGAGCTCTGAGAGGAGTTTGTGAAGCCATATCATGTTCTTTGATGCTGGTGTGAGTCCAATGTATTCTGATTCACCAGTGGAGACAGTAACAATTGGTTGCTTTCTCGATGTCCACATAACAGTGCCTTGACCCATGAATAGGACAAATCCAGACATAGACTTTTGTCCAGGCTGGTTGGCATATGCTGCATCATGATAGCCCTTAGTACTGATGCCAGGACCACTGATTACGAGCTGTTGATCATGCATACCCTTGAGATAATGGAGGATTCAGAATCCTGCTTTTAGGTGAGTTGAACATGGGTCTTCCATGAATTGTGATAATGCTGATACTGGATAGTTGATTTCAGAGCGGGATCCAACTGTGACATACATGAGGGACCCTAGCAGCTCATGATAGAGTGCTTTTTCATGTGGTGTAACAGATTCTGTGGATATGGAGGGTAAATCTGGATTTAGATCAAGATTCACTTCCATTGGCATTGCAAATGGTGCCATGTCCTGAACTCCGAATCGTTTTGCAATCTGGTCAATGTAGGCTGGCTCTCCAATGCTGATGGTGTGCCTTTCCCAGTCCTGAGTGATATGCATCTCCAAGAGCCAATGTATGGGTCTGAGATCAACTAGCTCAAAATGTGAGCCTATTTCTTGTTTGAATCAATCTGATTCATTTTGGGAGTCTGCGATGATGGTGAAATCATCTGTAGCAACTGTGACAATGGTATATTTGGTCTCTGATTTGATCCAGTAGAAAACAGCCTCATCTGCATTGCTGACAGTGAATCCTAGAGAGATCATCATTGCCTTCAGGGTCTGATACCAGCCGCATCCTGCTTGTTTTGTGCCACACAGACATTTGTGCAGCTTGGCATAAATGTTCTGATGTTTGAGGTGTTCTGGGATTGTAAAGAATTCTTCATATCTGTTTGGGAACTTGATATAGATTTCCTTGGTGATGTTGGCATGCAGGTACACATTTTTGATATTGGCTTGGTCTATAATTGCATTTCAAGAGGTGGCCATGGAGAGTAGGATGCAGAGAGTGGAAAGACAGACAACTGGGGCATAGGTGTCAAAGTAGTCAACACCTTGGATCTGAGAGAATCCTTGGACTACAAAATGGGACTTAGGCTTTTTGGGCTTGCCAGTTTCATTTTGTTTGACCTGATAGACAAACCTTGTACCCATGATGTTTGCATCTGTGGGAATGTCTTCTCTTTTCATCACCTCTCATGCTTTCTTCTTCTCACACTGCCTTATCTCTGCAAGCATTGACTCACACTATTCTCCTTCATCAGGGCCACTCAGTGCTTCCTTCATGGTTACTGGTTTGACATCCACCATCATAGCATAGTCAACTGGTGAGTAGCTGTCTGGTTCATCATCTGATTCTGATTCTGACTCATCTTCAAGTGCTGTTGCTGCAATTCCAGTCATGGTGGGACATGTGCACAAGTCTGGGGGTGTGAGTTGACCAGGTTTCAGGGCTGCAGATTGCTTAGGGTGGCTGGGTTGAGGGATAGGATCAGATTCTATATCTGTGAGTGGAGATTTGGGATGCTCTGAATGAGTTTCTGTGAGTGGTTCATTTAGCAGGTTTTCAAAGGGTTTAGAAGCAGTTGATGACTTTGGGACAATAGGGTTGGTATCTTCATCCTCCCTCAACTATAAATGGTTCCAGAGTCAGATCATTCTTATTAAAGTATATGTCACATTCAATGCTGACTTTTCGCTTTTTGGGCCAGTAAACTCTCCAGCCTTTGGCTTCAGTATCAATACCCATGAAGCAAGTTTTGATAGCATGCTCCTCAAGCTTCTCTGGTGCCTTTACTCAGATCCAGCATTGGCATTCCCAAGGATGAAGACCCAAGATGTTAGGCTTCCTGCTGGTTGCCATCTCAAATGGGGTTTTCCCTGATGATATCACTTTTGTTGAGGTGCAGTTGTAGATCCATTTGGCATGCCAGTGGGCTTCAGCCCAGAGGTATTTTGGTAACCCTGAACTGATTAAGAAAGCTCTAGTTGTGTCCATTAGATAGCTATTTGAATGTTCAGCAATCCCATTTGACTGTAGGGAATCATGTACATTAAGGTGTCAAACAGTCCCCTTCAATTTGAGATGCTGACCAAACTCTTTGCTAGTGAATTCTCCCCCTCAATCCATACCAAGTATCTTGATGACCTCTATGTCTCACTGAACCTTCATCCATATCTCATAATGTTTTTATGACCCAAAGCTATCTGATTTCTTTGATAGGTATTTGGATTTTGATTCATGAGTGTGTAGGTCATGGAATGTGCAGGCATAGTGGGCTCCTCCTAGTGATGCCACAGACATTGGGCCCATCAGGTCTCTGACAATCATGTCACTGCTATTTTTGACATATTCATATTGGCCTTGTTTTGGGAATGGCTTGTGCTTCACTTTGGCCTTCACACAGGTCTCACAAAATTCTGGTTTAGAGTTAAGATCAAGCTTGATTCCTTTGATATGGCTATCAATATACATGCAGCAAAGGGTGGTGTGACTTTGGTGAGCATAAACATTATGTAGCTCAGTGATGTTCACCTTGAGTGTACCTGCCATCATAGCAACATCTGGTTTGGCTGCTGTAGTTTGCTGTGCATTTGGGGTTGAGATTATGTATAAGCCACTGGCTTCAGAGATTTTTGCAATGATCTTAGCATCTGGCCATGGTGTGCAGATGTACATGGTGTGGTTGGAGGGTTCAATATGGATGAGAAATCCAGCATGACTGACTTGTGAGAGTGATATAAGGGTGTAGGCCATTTTTAGTGAATGATATGCATTTCAAAAACTCACAATGGTGGGTTTCTGTCCCTTTCCCATGGGAAGTGGTAGTCAAAGATTCCCTTTTCCTATTGCATAGAAAACTTGGCCATTCACAGCTTTGATGGGCTTCAGTTCAATTTTGGTATAGTTTTTGAACCTCTGACATTCAGGTGAGTATGTTTTTGATGCTCCACAATCTGCTAATGCCATAACATTCTCTCCTTTTGCCACATAGGCATCACCTTCAGCTCTATAGTCAGATATGCATATTAATGCCACATTCTTGTGATTATTGTCATCAGCTATAATGACAATAACATGTTCATCATCACTTTCATCAATAGCTGCAGATGGTGACTCTTTTGCTTTTTTCTTCTCCTTAGCCTTGTTCTTTTTTGAAGCTGGGCCTTGTCCTGCCTTTCCACTGCCTTCACATCAACAATCTACAATAAGGTGGCCAGTTTTACCATATGCTGGGTTTGTGCATTTGAGATGAGATCAATCAGGTCTTTTCTTCAACTTCCCTCCAGAGTTCTGGCCCTTCCCTTTGCTCTGTCATTGAGCAGACATTGCTATATTTTCAGCAGTGGCCTTTGATGCAATCTCCTCATCCCATTCTTCATGTAGGGCTGCAACTAGGATGTCTGATGTCAGGGTCTTTCCAGTAAACTTGCTGGCAGCAGAGAGGGTGCAACAGATATGATCATAGGAAGGTGAAAGTGATTTTTGGATTATCAAAGTGTACTGATTGTCTTCAATCTTTAGATCCATCCCTTTGATTCATTCACAGAGGACTTTCATTTTGGCAAGGTGTTCATGCATATTGCCTTCATCAGGGCATGCCATGTTTCCAAGCTGAGTAAGGAGGTGCTCTCACATGAGATCACTCTTGCCAGTCATGACAGCAATGAGCTTTCTTCAGATGAGGGCAGCTGTTGCCTTGCCTTTGATCTCATTGAAGATAGAGTCAGAAATGGCTTTGTAAATGATATTATGCATCTTTGCCTCTTTTTGCTCATATTCCTCCAGCTTATCCTCCAGCTTATCCAGGTTGTCATCTGAGAGTAAATGTGAAAGTGCAGTATCAGAGGACCAGTAGAAGTTTCCCTTGTGCTTGACAGGGTGCAGGAGTATGTGAGCTGTTCCTCAGAGGTGCCAGCCAAGGCCCTTGTCCAGGAACTTGGTGGTGAGCTTCTCTGAAAATGCCACCCAGTTTGATTCATCATCTGCAAGCTTTGTTGTGCTAACTAGCTTTATTTCAGTTGTCATGGACATGCTGGTAGCAGAGCCCATAACCTGTTGGAGTTGATGAGGTAGGAGCATGGACATGGTGAACAAGAAAAAAATTTTCAGAAGAGAATAGACACTAGAATAAAATGTCATAACATTAATCTCAGCATTATAGTTGAAAGCTATGTTATTTACCTAGGATAAAATATCATAATATTACTATATAGATAATAAGTAAATACAGTCAAGGATAGATATGTATAGGAGGTACTCACATTTCAGTGTTATAGTTGAAAGCTGAGATGTGCAGAATGGTGTGACATGCTAAAAAAGGAAGGAATATCAAATAGGTAAGTGAATGTATGTGTATCATACTATTTCTATGTCTAACATAAATTCATCCTAGGATACATGTTAGAAGATCAAATGTCATAAAGGTAAAAAGGCCTACCTCAGACAATAATAGAAGATGGTGGGGGAATCCAAGTTCATTTGATATACAGTGCAAGAGGGATGAAGGAGCTTTATAGTGATCTTGAGTGGCATAGTACTATTTTTGGAGAACAAGTTTTTGTTCAGAACAATACAATAATGTGGACAGTTATTTTATTTTATTTTTATTTTTGTGGTGCTACAGTGAGAGCCTATTAACAAGGTTAAATTGCCCTTGAGTATTGGCAGAGGAGAGAAGGGAGTTGCATCTCGCATTATGAGAAAAGGACCATCTAGGGAAATGTTCAGAAAACATAACCTTGTAGGGACAGTGTTGAGTTCAGTCTCATTTGTCTATTCTGATTATGGTGAGAGCTGGTATCCACTAAAACTCTGGCTGTCCAGATCCAGTCATCCAGCAATTTCTCTCCATTTTGTTCAAAGATTAACCCATTCCAGGTATCAAGCATGACTTGTTCTTTCATCACTTTTAGGCCAAATCTGTCAATAGTCAGTCATGTTGGAAGCACTTATTCATCATGTTGCACCATCTACCTGCAACTTCATCTTTGTTTAAACACAGCTCAGGGTTATTCTCTCTTACAATCTGTCATTCACATTGTAGTTTTCATATAAGAAAGGCCACTTCTAGAACAAGAATGCAGAAAGCTCATTCTATTCCTTTAGTCTTTGGTCTCACATTTTTAAAGGTTCTGCATCCACTACTTAGAATTATGCCCAGTGAGAGTGTAGGCCAGTGATCATGTTTTTGTAGCTATAGTTCCTCTGTTATGTCCCAAATTTGCTGTCACTCTGATGTTGAGCAGTCTACTAGTATATGTTCAATTTATTGATAGTTTTGTTGATGATTATTGGAGTTAACCCATTGCTGCTAATTTCAGCAGCATGGTGACTATCACATTCTTTCTGTGATTTAGTTGTTGATAGAGAGAAGGGTGTCTTTTCTTTTCTCATTCTGAGCTGTGCTACAACAGCTATTGCTAAATCTTTGTCTGAGTAGTTACTTCAAGTATTGTCCTCTCTACTTTCAAGATTATTGGTTAGTGTTTTGATTAACACTTTGGAGCTAATATTAACCTGGAGTTCTGTGTTGAGATGGCACTTTTGTGCAGTGTATAGGATAGCTAGCAGTATTGCAGTTTGTGCTGATCCCTCCACTCTAAAGATAAAGTTTCTTGTGTCCAGATACTGAAAGTATGCACATCCTCCTGCTGTTAGAGTGTTGTCTGTAGTTGCATTAGGTTGGAACCCACATATGTGCACTATGATAGGTCTGGTAGCTTCATCACAGTTATCTATTGGTATCTGTTCAGTGTTAACAATTAGAGCATCAAATAATCTGAAATAGTCTTTCTCTGAGCTTGGTGCAGTAGTTGGGCTAAAGAGTATTCTGCCTTCAGATTCATCCCTGCAGTCATTTTTTTGAGATTGTCCAGGCTGAATTGTGCTGGTTAGTACTTCAGATTCATGCTGAGAGATCCACATTGGATCCAAGTCATCAAGCATGAGTCTGCCAGGTTCTGCACATTTATGTGGATTTATACATCCACTTCTACAATCTGATTTACAGCCAGAGCAGGCACAATTTTATCTTTTTGTATGTTAGCATGCTCTCAGTCTTCTTGCAAGTTGTATAGTATCATAAACTATCTTAACTTGATGAGTTGATTGCAGACATTGTTTTGTTTTGCAGTTGTATTGGTGTCTGTTGTCTTTCAGTTTAATATGTGCTCAAATTGGCATTTCTAGTTTTGCTATTTGTGTTGGATTCAAGAATTTGAGCTGGAGGTTGTACATTCTTGCTGCTTTTACCATACATAGCTTTTGATGCTTCTGATAGAGTTGAACCTTAGCTTATGTTAGAGTTCTATTTTTAGAGAAAATAGTTAGTTCATTTAGAATCACTTATTTTTGGTCCACTTTTCTGAGCATTCATAGCAAGAAGTATATCTTCAGCTAATGCCTATTTTAGGCAATTTTTATCGAATGTAAGTATGTTTTCAGATCAGTAAGTGTGATAGTCTTATTCTTTGCTTACAGGTCTAAGAGCTTGAGTCTCCCTTCTTCAATTTGGAGACAGAGTGTGTCAAGGTTGATGGATAGGATTCTAGCATCATTCCAGAGAAAGTTTTAAATGATATAAGTGAGTGTTACAGTTTTTTCCACTTTTTTCCTTTTCTTATCTTATTTTATCATATCTTATCAAGCACCTATCTTATCATAGGGTGCTTAAGGTCATTGGATGATCACCATGTGATGGAGATGGGCACAATAGATGAACTGTGATGACAGTGTCAAGGCCATCTCAACAACAGACAATACCCATTTGTTTTATATCCAACAACCAGACACTATAGTATTATGATGCATAGAAACTATAATAATGTAAGACTATATTTATCATTACAAACCAGTATATAAGTAGGCTAGCTCTTACTGTAGTACCCCAGCTTCAAGCTAAAGTTTATCTACACCACTTATCTCTTCTCAAGCTTGTTCTGTGAAATACCTTGATACACTAATTCAAATATATTCAGTGGACTCTGGTGTGACTATACAAATATGATACAGTACCAGTTTATCATGTGCTCCTATCATATGTCAAGCAGGTCTAACAGTGAGTCTGTCTTCAACATGTTTAGACATACCTTAGGCTTTTATTAAGAATTATATGCAGCCATCTACAGCTATCTGTACAATGAGATGTTTCTCTTACAAGGTAGAATGGCTGGTTTGCCATTTTGCAAGCTGATCATTGATCTTTTCAATAATTGGAGTCTAGAGTTCAGTATTATTAATTTCATTTCCAATGAAGTTACTAATTATCTATGTTGCTTCTCTATTGGCAGCTATATGTATATGTGCCAGAATAGAGTTCTGATCAGGTCTAGTCTTTTGTGTTATAATAACTTTACTTCAAAAGACTTTTGATCCAATTGGTATAATTTCAGTTTTACTCATATTGAATTTTGCTTTTGAAGTTTTGCATCATTTTTCAAGGGTCTGTGTCAGAATCATAAAATCATCATCTTTCAATAGGTACACAGTTGTATCATCTGCAAAGAGAGATATAATGAGTTTCTCAGTAGCTTCTGGGACATATATTCTATGAATTTTAGAGTTACAGAGCATTGCAGCTAGTGGTTCAATTGCTAGGTTGAAGAGGATGCATGAGAGTGGATCGCCTTGTCAAACCCCTTATGTTACTCTGAAGAGTGTGCTTGGCTTACTGTTGATCATGACAGTGGTCATTGAATTACTATATAGAGATTTAATAGTGTTTATAAATTTGTTGGAGAACCCAAACTTCTAAAGAACCTTCTATAGATATTCATGAGATATGTGGTCATAGGGTTTTTCTTGGTCTAGAGCCACTATTAGCTCTTCATGTCCTGTTATCTCTGTGATCTCTGTAAGCTGAATAATTCACTGTGCTAGATGAGTTTGGTCATGAATACTACAATCTTTCATGAAGCCAGCTTGATCAAAGTGTATAATGTCACTAATAAATATTGTAAATAGTTTGTAGTCAGAGTTAAGACAGATGATTAGCTGATAGTTAGCTGTATTATCACATTTATTTTTCTTATAAATGGGGCATAGCCATCTATCAGAAAATCCAGTACCAGGAGATACACCATACACTTGTATGTCTCTGTATATTGCAGTCAGCACTCCAATAATATTGAATGCAGGGTTGTTATTTTTATTATTAGTGATGTAGCACTCATAGAGTATTTTTCAGAACTCAAAGAGTATACTATCAAGTCCTAGAGCTTGTCCATTGTTTGACTTCCAGAGTGCTGTCTGGATTTTATTCTCCTCTATGTTGTTTTTTGTTTCATTCTGAGCTTCTTTGGGTAATTTAACCTTAATGTTTTAAAAGACCTCCTTATTGACAAGCTCTTGTTCAGAATGTTCAGTGACCTCTATGTCTTTAAGAGCTTCATAGTAGTTCCTGGCATGTCCTGCTGTATCCTTAGACCATAAGATGAATTGTGCTGGTGTCATCCCAGAGATCTTTAAAGAGAGAATAGTATCTTTTATAATATCTGCCTTTCCTAATTTGGTCCACTTTTTGCTCATTGACTTGTGTACTATCTGCTGGATGGCATATCATATGGGCTTTTGCTATTCCTTCTTGGAATATTCTAATTTATAGAGTGACTTGTCTAGTTCTGAGGCAATTTTTATCTTATCTTTCTCTGTGCTGTCTGTAGAGTTTAAGATCTTAACTTTTTGTATTCTGAGATCTTTCAGATTTTTGTCTAGTTGGGCTGATAGAACTTTGCATCATTCACATGCAAGATTGACTATCTTTTCTTTGAAGTTCTTCAGAAGGATTTAGGGGTTGTAATCTTCAGTTCATGCAATTTGGGAGCTTGCAATGTCAGCTTGTAGTTGTATACCAGTGTACTGCACTATGGGTTTGTGGGCACCAAATTTCAGTTTTCTGGATCTAGATCCACCAAGGCATCAAGAGAGCTGAGCAGTGAGTATCATCCTGCCTTTAAAACAAAGAACCATTCCTCTCACTATAGCTTAAGCAATGGAGCACTAATATGATGATATACTTGGTAATGGCTAAGTGACTAAGAGAGGTGAATGAGGAATGAACTCTCAAACACCAACACCTAACCACTCAATACACAATCACCAAATACAGTTGAGGTCAGTTGTTTCAAGTACAATAGAAGCACTCTTGCAGTCTTAAGTAAAATCAAAGAAACAGTCAATAAAGACAGTTATTCAACTCTATCTTGCTTTTCAAAGATGCAATACTCATGAGAGTAGTTTATAGCAATGTTTAAGTATAATTAGGACTTAGAACCAACACAAAATTGCACTCCAAACCAACTTAGAATATTCCAAAACCAAATAAACTCCAAAACCCAAATACTAAGTCTATCAAGCACTTAGGCTTGACTAGCTGCACTCTTGGCTGGCTAGCGGTCCTCAAAACTGAAGAACTTGTATTCTGATGCTGAAACCCTTATAGTTTGGAACCCAAATTAATCTGAAACCCAAAATATAGTTATCATTCCAATCTAATCCTCTCTCTAAGTGACAAAGCAACTTAAATAAATCACTAAGTCGAAGCAGAACTCAAAATCCGTTGTCCCAGGGACTAGCTACAGTGGGCTAGAAGGCCTGAACGTGGGGGTGGGTCGCTTGCTTCATATTTTCCCCCCATTCCCTTCTTTTATACACCAACAACAGGTACAGAATCTATAAATAAAGCATTCAAAATAATATTTCTCCTGTTTAAAGCGGAATCATGCCATTATTCTGGAATGGCAGCACTCCTGGACTCCCCTAGGCTTGCCCAGACCCGCCTGGCCACCGCACAGCTTTATTTTAAGCCTACAGTGCCTGTGGGTATCTAACTCCTTTCTGTCTACTCAGAGTTTTAATCCTCTGAGTTATTCTTAGTAGCTCAATCGATCAGGCCCGGTCAGGCCTGGTCAACAGGTCCTATCCACTCTATTCCTCTCAATTCTAAGTCCCTTAGGTCATCTGATATCTAGGAAATTCGGACTTAGGCATTTGAGTCAAAACTCAGAGTGCTAGCCACAGATCATTGGATCTCTCTTCTTACTGCTTCTGGATGATGCTATCTTTACTCAATACTCCACAACTGGCTATGGTATTATTCCTCTAGCTGTCTTAGAATATACTTGTCTTAGTGGCATGTAGAATTGGCCCTATTTGAGGTACCATTTTTAAGTCCAACTTGGACTTGGTATTTTTCAAGGTGTGGTGCAGAACTTTTCTCAGTTCAAACCTGACTTAGGATTTTTATCCTTAGGCCATGTTATTTTTACAAAGTCCAATTTGGACTTAGTATTGGTGACTAGCATGACTATCAGCTCAAAGCCTCAGCTATAGTCCTCTACTGGCTAATGATCCTCAGTTAGTAGCATATTCTAGTGTGTTATGCAGAATTTGCAAATTATAGGGCTGGACATGTACTCTGCACATCACCAATGCATTCTATGTAATGTCACCCCTGATCTCCCCCTCTATAACATCCCTCCCTCTGCCTGAAATTCCTTTCAGCCCATGGAAGGAACCATATCCAAAACTGACTCTGAGGACATGCCTCTGGAGCATCCTCAGGAAGAAGAAGAGCACTGATACCTGCTCCAACCTCTGATGGCAATCATCAGAGATGATAGCAACCCTTGGGCTATGGAATTTTGAAGACCAAGACCTTACATGTCAGTCCCACATGTTGAGCAACTGGACATCTCCAGCAGCATCCATATGATGAGGGCCACCCCCTCAACTGCACCCTCTGAGCCCAGCATTGGACATTGTGCCAGAGACTCTCTTGATGCCCTTAGGGTGGCTCAAGAGAATGGAAGTCCTCTATCAAACAGCAACCATGGATCTCTATATGCAACACCTACAGGAAGTAGGGAGAGTTTCTCTGCTGAGTTATACATCAAAAACCAGAGTACTGACAGTGAAGGAAACTGCACAGGGATTATCAGGACTGATGACCCATATTTCAGAGATGACAGTAGCTGCAAGTGGAGGTTTTGGCAATGGGCTGTCTGAGAAGCTGAGTGAGTGGAGTG